TTTTTAGAAGTTATTTAAATTTTTGTAAAACATTAACAATAATGATTTTTTAAAAATATCTTACACAGAAATAGAATTGTTAAATCTCAATACTCAATAATCTAATTCTTTTCACTTACAGTACAATTCAACACTTCTTATTTTGGAAATTTCATATTTTGGACATTTTGGGCTTTGGGAATTTTTATTGTAGAAAAATAATTTTTAGATTGTGTATGGATTAAAAAATTTAATTTTAAAGTTCTGAATGTTTCTGAATTTATAGTGATAGAACACTACTGCGCATGCGTATTATTGATAGAACACTACTGCGCATGTCTGACATTGATAGAATACTACTGCGCATGCCTGACATTCACTGAACACTACTGCGCATGCCTGACATTCACAAAACACTACTGCGCATGCGTACCATTGATAGAATACTACTGCGCATGCCTGACATTGATAGAATAATACTGCGCATGCGTACCATTGATAGAACACTACTGCGCATGCCTGACATTCACAGAACACTACTGCGCATGCGTACCATTGATAGAATACTACTGCGCATGCGTATATGTATGTACAATGAGTATGTATATATAACATTGTCTGAACACTACTGCGCATGCGTAACATTGTCCGAACACTACTGCGCATGCGTAACATTGTCTGAACACTACTGCGCATGCGTAACATTGTCCAAACACTACTGCGCATGCGTAACATTGACAGAACACTACTGCGCATGCGTAACATTGTCTGAACACTACTGCGCATGCGTAACATTGTCTGAACACTACTGCGCATGCGTAACATTGACAGAACACTACTGCGCATGCGTCGCATGCGTAACATTGACAGAACACTACTGCGCATGCGTAACATTGACAGAACACTACTGCGCATGCGTAACATTGACAGAACACTACTGCGCATGCGTAACATTGTCTGAACACTACTGCGCATGTTATAGTGACAGAACACTACTGCGCATGCGTAAACAAACACTACTGCGCATGCGTAACATTGTCCGAACACTACTGCGCATGCGTAACATTGTCTGAACACTACTGCGCATGCGTAACATTGTCCAAACACTACTGCGCATGCGTAACATTGACAGAACACTACTGCGCATGCGTAACATTGTCTGAACACTACTGCGCATGCGTAACATTGTCTGAACACTACTGCGCATGCGTAACATTGACAGAACACTACTGCGCATGCGTCGCATGCGTAACATTGACAGAACACTACTGCGCATGCGTAACATTGACAGAACACTACTGCGCATGCGTAACATTGACAGAACACTACTGCGCATGCGTAACATTGTCTGAACACTACTGCGCATGTTATAGTGACAGAACACTACTGCGCATGCGTAACATTGTCCGAACACTACTGCGCACGCGTAACATTGTCCGAACACTACTGCGCATGCGTAACATTGACAGAACACTACTGCGCATGCGTAACATTGACAGAACACTACTGCGCATGCGTAACATTGTCCGAACACTACTGCGCATGTGTGATATTCAAGGAACACTACTGCGCATGCGTATATGTATATACAATGATACAATGAGTATGTATACATACGATACGATGAATAAATGATAAAAGCCGAACGACCGAACGATGAAGTACGAAGTTACACGAGCGACGGACGACAAAACGACGACGAATATCTTAATATTATAGGAGATTATACATTCATTGAAAATCTTGTTAAAAATCACGTTCTTATCTTTGCTGTTATTCAATATAGGCCTAACGCTTTTTTGTCATGTGAAATTACTAAATTTCTAGTTAAATAAAATTATTTTGCTTTTAAATTAGTAAATTTTACTAAAAAAAAAATTTAGTAGAAATTAATATTTATTAGTAAAATTTTACTATTTGTTAGTTGTATTCGACTAATTCAGTTTTAGAGAGCAATTAAATAATGGCAAATGATAGTTTTAATTTTTACTAATTCAGAGTTAGAGAGAAAACTATATTTTAAAGAAAAATATTTTACTGAAATGTCGAACGTTCAAATGAACTTATTTTTTTTGTTTGAATATTTTTTAAAACTACTATGCAAATAAAGAAATATAGAAATTAGTATTATTATTTATTATTATTAAAAAATATTTATTTAGTCAAGCATTAATTTTCAAAATACAATTTAATTTTTTTAGTAACAAAATAAAAATTAAAAGAAGTAAAAAAATATAGTCTTTCATTTGAACTTTCAAAACTTTAGAAACAATAGAAAAATTTGAAAATTAATTTATTTTATACATAATTTTGCGTTGATAATATAGAATTTAAAAAAAAAAATTAACATTTCTGTTAAAAAAAGTTACAATCATTGTGACTTTCAAATAATTTTGAGTCTGAAATTATTAAATTCTCACATAAAATATTATTAAAATTTTGAAAAATAGGTAAATTCTTTCAAAAAATTTTACTAAAATTGTATTGAAAATAATTAAAGTTCTTCGAAGAATTTTTTTATTTATAAAATTAATTGAATATTCTTGAGAGGAATATTATTCACCTTTTGAAAATGTTAAATAATAATTAGTTAATAAGAGAATTTTTAAAAATTTTGAATGTAAAATTAATGGAAAATTGAATCAAATAAATTGAGAGTGAAAAAACGAAGCAACTCTTTGATTTGTTTTTTGTCTCCATTCATTTAATTCAATTTAAAAAATTTTTTAAATTTAAGTTTAAAATTGTTAAAAATTTAATAAAATTTTGAATGTAAAATTAATTAAAAATTGAATAAAATAAATTGAGACAAAAAACGAATGAAAATGTTGCTTTGCAACACTTTTGATTCGTTTTTTGTCTCAATTTGACGTCCATAGAAAAAATATTTAAAAAAACAATAATGTAGGAACCGAATATTGAAATTTAGAATAATTGGACATTAATACTAGAAAATTGATAAAATTTTCCTTTTTCAAGCGCAGTGAATACGAATTTTGATTTTCTATAATAAAAAAATAAAAATCCATCATTTCTCGATTCTCTCGTGTAAATATTTAATGAAATTCCCTGACGTTTCACGTACGCGCGCGACACCCTCTGATGTTGACTCAATTTCAATGTGTTCCTCGTAGACTCTCGCAAAATTTCGCGCTTTTCCGGGACACGATATCAATGTCCTCTCCTGATGGAGTGGGTGGCATTGTTGGGAGAGGAGTTTGCGCAGGTGCTACCGCTGCCTGCCTGCCTGCCTGCCTGGCTCCTCTAAAGTATGAATGAAAGCTGTGCCGGCCGGCGCACTGTGCCACGCGCGAATTCCCGATATAATATCTTTTTTACACAACCGAACGCCACTCATATCGTGTCTATATCCTTCGTCCAGCCATCTTTTCTATATTCTCTCTAAATTTCAGTTTCAAAATTTTTTTTACTTCTTTCAATTAAAAACTGACTTTTTGATTTTTAATTAGTTAATTTCACTAATAAATACTAATTTATTAGTAAAATTTACTAATTGACTGACTTTTTGCTTTTGAAATAGTACATTTTAATAATAAATACTAATTTCTATAAATTTATTAGTAAAATTCACTAATTGACTAAACTTTTGCTTTTGAATTAATAAATTTTAATAATAAATGATAATTTCTATTAATTTGTTAGTAAAATTAATTATTATTGTTTATATTTTCAAAAATTTTAATTTAAAATTCATCGCAACAATTCAATTATTTTCAACAAAATTTTAAAAAAATTTTACGAAAGAATTCAATTATTTTCTAAAATTTTAATAAAACCTTCGAAACAATTCAATTATTTATTTAAATAGTAAAATCTTTGCAACATTCAATTATTTTCAATAAATATCGTGAAATTTTCAATTTCACGAAAGAATTCAATTTTTTTCTTAATTCGTTATAAAAAATTTTAATAAAATTCAATTATTTTCTAAAATTTGTAATAAATCCTTCGAAACAATTCAATTATTTATTTAAATAGTAAAATCTTTGCAACATTCAATTATTTTCAATAAATATCGGGAAATTTTCAATTTCACGAAAGAATTCAATTTGTTCTTAATTCGTTATAAAATTTTTTAACAGAATTCAATTATTTTCTAAAATTTTTAATAAATTCTTCAAAAAAATTAAATTAAATTTATAAATAGTAAAATTTTTCGCAAAAATTCAATTATTTTTTAAATAGTAAAATCTTGACAAAAATTCAATTATTTTCAAAAAAAAAAAAATTTCACGAAAGAATTCAATAATTATTTTCTAAAATTTTGAATAAATTTTTCGAAAAAATTCAATTATATTTATAAATAGTAAAATTTTTTGCAAAAATTCAATTATATTTATAAATAGTAATATTTTTTTGATAAAATTCAATTATTTTCAAAAAAATTCCACGAAAGAGTTGAAATAAATAATATTTATTATCCTTTTCGACTATAATTTATAAGTAACTATTTACGTTTTATAGAATGTTGAATTAAAATAAATTTATGCCGTTTCTTTACCTCTGAATTTGGCTAAAGTTCATAATCCCAGTGAGAATCGGAAAACATTTAGGTTTTAAGTAGAAAAAGCATGACTTGGGACTGCCTTGTCGAGCACAACTTTTTCTACTTGAACAGTAAATCGCACCGGGCAGAAATGCTTCTTTTAAGTGGAGCAAAAATTTTAGGTCAGACAGGAGTCCTCTTTTTTGAATCACTTATTTAATTTATTTATCGTGTTTTCTACAATATATTTTTTTATTTTTAAAAATAATGATGGTAAATATTAATAATTAATTAATATAAATTGAAGCTTAATTTCCACTGCGATTCAGATTTAGAGAGAAAATTATTGGTTCAATTTAATTTAATTTATTTAATTTTTCTTTGAGAAAAAATTCAATTTGTTTTATTTAAATTAAAAATTATTTGGTTCGAATAAATGAATATTTGATTCAAGTATGTATATATTTTTTTATGCTTTAATTCTCGATTTCTAATTTGAACACTTTGATTTTAGGTACTGGTGAGTCGGGCAAGTCGACGTTTATCAAACAGATGAGAATTATCCACGGTTCCGGATACTCGGACGAAGATAAGCGAGGGTTCATTAAATTGGTCTTTCAAAATATTTTCATGGCAATGCAGTCAATGATTCGTGCCATGGACCTCCTGAAAATCCAGTACGGCGATTCTTCGAATATAGTGAGTTTCGTATTTTGTTAAGAAAAATATTTTTTTAATAAAAAAAAAATAGAAGATCCGTTATTTGAATCAAATAAATTTTTTTTCACTGGGAAAAATCGTCCACTAATTCAAATTAATCAAAATTTTATAATAATTTTTAGTAATCTTTCCCTAAAACTTTCGTAAAAATATAAAATTTAATTATTTTTAATAATTTTCTGAAAGTTCTTCAATAATTAAATTATTCAAAGAAGAAAAAATAAGTTCACTTGAAATAAAATTTAAAATTTTAATTTAAATTTTTGGAAATATTTGTGAGACGCTCTCATGAAAAGAAAAGAAGCAAAAAATTTTACATTATGTTTATAAAATTTGAAATAAAAATACAGAAAGAGAATTAATTACTATTATAAATTATTGATCTTCAAGTTTAATTAATTTTATCAATTTAATTAATTCAATTTTTTTTTACTAAAGTTTCAGTGAAGGATTACTAAAAATTAATTAATTAATTACTACTAAATTAAATTGTTAAATTTTTGCTAAAAATTAGTAAAAAAAAAAGTAAAATTACTATTAATTAATTAATTACTACTAAATTAAATTGTTAAATTTTTGCTAAAAATTAGTAAAAAAAAAGTAAAATTAGTAAAATTAATTAATTAATTACTACTGAATTAAATTGTTTAATTTTTTACTAAAAATTAGTAAAAAAAAAGTAAAAAAAAATTAATTAAAATTGATTTAAATTTTTGGACGACTTTTTAACTATTAATCAAAATTTAGAGAGTGAAGATCTTTTTTTACACAAAAAATAGTAAAAAAAAAGGTCTTTGTCTAAAATGTATTTTTATTTTTGCAGTGAATTTGACTAATAATTATAATTTATTTTTTGTAAATATAGGAAAAGGCAGAGCTCGTTCGCGCTGTAGACTTCGAAACTGTAACGACATTTGAAAGTCCATATGTAGAAGCTATTAAGGATTTATGGGCAGATGCCGGTATTCAAGAATGTTACGACCGTAGACGAGAGTACCAACTTACAGACTCGGCTAAATAGTAAGTACATTAGACAATTTTTATTCATATTTTCCAATAACTACTCTTGGATATGTTAACTCTACGTTTTTTTCAGTCTTGTTTTTCTTGGGAAAAGTATTTTATTTCCCTTGAATTGCGTATATTTTTTCCAAAGTAAAAAATCACTTTTTTTTATTCTTCTGTGAAAATAATTATAATTTGGAAAAAATTAATTTTGCATTTGAAACTGATTATATTGTAGTTCAGAATATTTTTAAACATCGTTCACTAGTTTTTTTTTAAATGAATTTTTCATTATATTCTAAAAATTATATTTTAAAAAGAAAAATATTGAGAATTAATTTTAAAATTGGAAATAAAATTTTATTTGCTAAAAGTTGTATTGAGAAAAGAAAATTATCCTTAAGTTCTGAATGTTCAAATGATAGAAATATTTTTTTTTGTTTAAAATTATTAAACATGTTCAAAAATTACTGACTTTAGATTTAAAATTTTATTTCAAGTGAAATATCTTCTTTTTTTAATAATTCAATTTGTCGAAGAATTTTTAGAAAATTGATAAAAATAATTGATTTAAAAGAGAATTTTAGAACAGAATTCTAGAAAATAATCGAATGTTGCAGGAGTCAGAAGAAATTTTTAGAAACAATATTTAAAGTATTTTTAATTTAAAATTAAAATAATCGAAGCTTCTAACAATTTAAAGAATTAAATTTAATTTAAATAATTTTATTAAAAGTTCTGAAAAATTTTTAATTTTAAATTAAAATAATTCAAGATTTAAATAATTTAATTTAATTTAAATAATTTTATTAAAAATTCTGAATAACTTAGTTATTTGAAAAATTTTAATTGAAATTTTTTGAAATCAGTTGAATTTTTAAATATGTAGTTAATTTGAACATTTTTGGAGAATTTTATTAGAATTTTTCTAAAATTTGCGAATTTCACAAAAACTTGATATCAAAATTATTATTAATAAAGAAACAGTTTAAAAAAGTCATTTTTTTCTTTCGAATTCTCAGGAGAATTTTATTTTGTATTTTCCTTACTTTATCCAAATTTTTAGAAATTCTACAAATTTGGAAAAAGTATGGAAAATACATTTTTCTTTCGAATTCTCTGAAGAATTTCATTTTGTATTTTCCTTTCTTTTTCCAAATTTCTAAAAATTTGAAAAAAAGTGAGAAAAATACAAAATAAAATGCTTCGGAGAATTCGAAAGAAAAAAACTACTTTTTTCTTACTTTAAATCGACTAAAACGATTTTTTTTGCTTCTTAAAGTTGATTCGAGGCCTGAACGAAGTAAATTGTCAATAAAACATTTTCGAACTTTTTTCACCTAGTGCGATCTTAAAAAATTCGAATAAAAATTTTCAAATTACGAAATTTTACTTATTTGAACGTTCCAAACTTTAGGGTTGTTATAAAAATGTATTTTTACTAATTAACTTTATCTCTCGATTTTTTTTTTTTGTAAAGAGAAAGAAATAGTTAAAAGATAGAAATAGTGAAAAGAAAAACATAGTAAAAGAAAGAAATAGTATTTTAAAAGTAGTACTGTGTTAGTCAAAAAATAATTTTTTTTTTTTGTAAAGAGAAAAAATAGTTAAAAAAAAAAATACTAAAAGAAAGAAACAGTAAAAAGAAAAAAATAGTAAAAGAAAGAAAATAGTGTTTTGAAAGTACTGTGTTAGTAAAAAATAAATAAACAAATTTTTTCCCTACTTACAATAACACATTACTTTCAAGAACAAGTGGGGAAAATATTTATTCCATCTGCTAACAATAAAATTTTACAGTTATCTAATGGAGATAGATCGAGTTGCAGCACCAAGTTACCTCCCCACAGAACAGGACATTCTTCGCGTAAGAGTGCCCACAACCGGTATAATTGAATATCCCTTTGACTTGGAAGAAATCCGATTTAGGTACGTGGATTATCGAAATCCAAAAAAAAAGCTGAAAAGAAGCTGCCTGCACGTCAACGAATTTGTTTCTGCATCCGCAAATGTTTTTTTACTCTCTCTATCTCTCTTCTTAATCTCATCACTTTTCAAGTGTGACTAATCTTATTTTTTTCCTTTGAGGTAATTGTCCTTTTAAAACGTTTTCTGAACGTAAAAAATTTTGTCTACTATTATTTATTCAATAATAATCAGTAATTGAATAATTTAATAAATTCAAATTTAGTAAATTAATAAATAGGGGAGTGTAGTCAAGGTTGGATCAGGTACTGACTGTTTTCTATAACTTCTCCTGTCTACCGAATTTGACGATTTCCTCTTATATTATTGGAAAGTTCTACCAAAATGCAATGTTTTTGCTAAACATTGTAAAAAAGTTGGTGTCACTATGTGATAAAACGAAATAAGCGGCATTATCCAACCTTGACCACCTATTCAACCTTGACTACTCTCCCCTATTAATTGAATAAATCAATGAAATAAATAATAATTGAATAAATCAATAATTAACAATTTAGTAAATTAATCAATAATATAATTGAATAAATTAATTTATTCAATTTATTTATTTAATAATAATATTAATTATTTTTTTAATTAACTAGAAAGATCGGAAAGTAAAGAAAGATAAGATTGTAAAGATTGAAGAAAAGGTATTTATTCTCATATTAAATTATGTGAGAATAAATTTACTAATTGGAGGAAAATTTGGTTTTTTAAAAGGACAGTGATCTGAAAGGTGTGACTTGGCAATTTACAGGCAATCTCAATACAGCGGAGCATGATTGTACGGCATTGTTGTTTTTAATATTTTGTGTTATAAGCACTCTTGATAATTTTTTTGCATGGCATGCATTACGAAGATGGTGGCTTAATTTTTGTTTGCAGTTATATTAGTGACCTAGCACGTATCGAGGCGCCTGATTATCTGCCAACCGAGCAAGACATTCTTCGTGCTCGAGCCCCTACTACAGGCATTATAGAATATCCATTTGATCTGGACTCCATCATATTTAGGTATACTAACACGTCATCACTTTTTTTTTTATTTTTTATTTTTTACTTTTTTCAATTTCATCCGACTAAAATATTCACTAATCGTCGAAAATAAAATAGAGGACTTGGATCATCTCAGATTTTTGGTAACATTTTTTATAATATTCTCTGTTGTTTCATTTTTGTCAGGAGCATGACAATTTTTTATTGTCTTATCAATAATTATTATGTTAATAGTTAATAATTATTAAATTTAATTTTTTTTCTATTGCTTCCATTATTTTTTATTGTTCGATTATTTTCTCTTGAGAGATGTAAAATGAGATTACTTTTTTGTCATTGCGAAAATTTAAATTGCTTTTTTATATAAATACTGAAACGGTGTTAATAGTGTTGCATGTGATTTTAAGTGTTTGCTTGGTCTTGGGAATGAAAAATTATTTATTTTTAAGTAAAAAAAAAATAAGTTTTAAAAAATCAATACAAAATCAATGGGGATAACGTTCACAACGTTTATGATCAACGATTGGATGAAAAAAAGAAAAAAGAAAGAAAAAAATCAATAATTAATTGTAAAAATTCTTTTATACAAAGAATTTAATTGGAGAAATATTTTTTCTTCAAAATCGTTAATTATAAACGTTGCGAACTTCACTAACGTAAAAATCTTGTTTTTATATTATTTTATTTATTTATTTATTTATTTGTGGGGAAAAAATATTTTGTTATGTTTACTTTTTTCTATTCAATTTTATTTTTTTATTTTGTAAATATCAGATTGGAAAAACTAACAGAAGAATTGCTTTTACAGGATGGTGGACGTCGGTGGACAGAGATCAGAAAGAAGAAAATGGATCCACTGTTTCGAAAATGTGACTTCCATTATATTTTTAGTAGCGTTAAGTGAATACGATCAAATTCTGTTTGAATCTGAAAACGAGGTGAGAAAATAAATCAATTTTATTCTATTTTTTCAATGAGTATTTAAAGAAAAATTAAATGAAAGATAATTAATAAAAATAAAATAAATGAAAAATAAAATAAACGAAAGATAAAATTAATGAAAAATAAAATAACTGAAGGATAAAATTATTTATTATTAAATTTTATGTATTAAATATCAATTCATTATAAGCTGAAAAATAGATAAATTTAATTATCGAATAAATTATAAATTTATTAGTGATAAATTAGTTTCTATTATGTCTTTAAGTTTAGTAATTTAATTTTTTTGTAAATTTATTAGTAATTTAATTAATTTAGTATACGGAGAGAAAATTTATTTTCGTTCTGTGCAGAAGATGGGAAATAAAATAAAACTATCAAATAATTTTTGTACAGATGAAAAATGAGTTTAATTTTCGTAAATTTATTTGAATTGGAGAAAAATATTAATTCGATATTTTCTATTTTGCAGAATCGAATGGAAGAAAGTAAGGCATTATTCAAAACAATTATAACATATCCCTGGTTTCAACACTCTTCCGTAATTCTCTTCTTAAATAAAAAAGATCTGCTTGAGGAAAAAATAATGTATTCACATCTTGTCGACTACTTTCCTGAATATGATGGTAAGTTTCGAAAGAAAGTATTTTCTGTAGCTGACAATTTTTTTTCGGTCCTATATACAAGAGGATAAAATTATATTTTTTTTTTTTTAATTGAGAAAAAAAATTGTCCTGTTAATAGTTAGACCGAAAAGAATTTCTATTATTAAGTTGTACAATTTTTAATGAGAAATTGTTTTTTCTTGTGGATAATTGTAATTTTTATTCATTTTACAAAGCGAGCATTTATTTTGCTCTTTGAAAAGTTCTTAATAATTCTTAAATTGGCAATTTGAATTGAATTTGAATTAATTTGAAAAATAAATTGTCGAATTGAAATTGAATTTTGAATTCACTTCATTTTTTTATATTTTTGTCACATGTGAAAGTATATTTTTAATAATATTTTATTCAGTATTTAAAGAAAGAAAATTTGCTTTCAGATTTAAAAAGAAATATATTTTACAAACAAACAGAATTATTTACCTAAATTTTACAAAAGTGTAAATTTTTTTAATTTTTCTAAAAGAAATTTTCTTCGGAAATGTAAAAGTTATTCTAGAAATTTTTAATAGTAAATATTACTTATTTTGAAGTAAATTTTATCAAATCCGAAGTAAAGTTTACTAATTATTTACTTAAATTTTTATTGAAAATTAAAATCCTCTTTTTTACCTAATATTACTAATAAATAATAATTTTACCTAATATTAGGATAAAAATTATAATTCTTTAAAGAAAAAAACAATTTTTTACTCAAATTTTTTTTTCTAAAAATTGTACAAATTAATGAACTTTTCGAAATTTATTATTAATTTTGATTGAAGTTTTTATTTGAAGTTAAAAAATAAATTTCTAGTTTGAGATTATGTTAAGGGATGGGGAATTTTTAAACGAAATAGACAATTAATTATCTTAAATTCGTTATTTTATTTTTATTTCTCATTTTATTATGATAAAATTACAGGAGACTCAAAAAACTATAAATTCAATCGCCCTGTAAATTTATTGTTTATTGCAATTAAAGTACGATATTTATCTTCTGTTTTTTTATTTTTATCAATTTTTGTTTTAATATTTCTTAAAGTTCGATTTAGGAAAATATTGAATTTTTTATTTCGTGGCATTAATTTTCAATCTTTGGTGTATAAATTTCTGCTGTCAAAATCTGAATTAGGGAAAAGTCGTCCACTAATTCAAATTGGTAAATAATTTCAACTAATTCTCAGTAAAATTTTTTTACCAAATTTTACTTTTTATTGTACTAATATTTTTTTACTATTTCATTTAATAGTTGACAAATTTTTTTTACCAAATTTTACTTTTTATTGTACTAATATTTTTTACTATTGTTAGTAATTTTATACTAAATATATTTTAGTGAAATATTACTAACAATTAGTGGAAATTATTTATTTATATTATTATTATAAATAAATAATTATTTATACCTTATTAGTGGACTACTTTTTACTAATTCAAATTTAGAGTATAATTAAATAGTAATGAGCAGAGTAAAAAACTAATTAGAGTAATGGCAAAATTTTGTTAAGAAAAAAATTCGGAAGTATTAATATTAATGACAAATTAAGTTTTCAATTTAAAAAAAAAATTATTTTGTGGGTCTTTTGGGTTATTTAAATGGGGGGAGTTTTTTTTTTTTTATTATTTGACTGAGAAGTTGTGTGATATAGGGCCTAAACAGGCACCCCCACCAGCTATGGAGTACATTTTAAAGGTCTATCTCAGTTCGAATCCCGATCCAGATCGTCAATGCTACTCTCACTTTACAACAGCGACAGGTCTGTTTCAAGTAGGACAACCCTCGCTCTTTTTTCAAATTCACAAATTGGCCCTTTTGTGCTAGTACCCTTTTCTTTTCTTTTTTTTTAATTCGAGTCTAATAATAAAAATGAGAATTTGCATGCCAAGAATGTATTTTTATTTTCCATTCAATGTTTAACTATTATTTTCACCAATTTCCATTTAATGTTTAATTATTTTTTTAACACTTTCCATTCAATTACGTTTAACTACATTTTTTTTACTGTTTACTATTTTTTTTTTTTACTTTTTTTGAAAGTCATAATTTTATCTTTCTGTGATTAATTCAAAAGATTAAATACACAGTTTTTCTAAGGATTTCAAATTGAGACAAAAAATGAATCAAAAGTTCGCAACACTTCGCAACACTTTTGATTCGTTTTTTGTCTCAATTTAATATCTGCAGAAAAACTGTGTATAAAATTCGAACCAATGAAATTTTTCGAAAATAGCTAATTAATTTTAATTTTATTAAACTCAGAATTTTTTTGTTTCATTTACAAAATGGAAAAATATTTTTATTCGAGTGTTTGCAAATTCTCAAAAGTAGAGCTAGTTGTACGTTAATAGCAATAATAATTAGTATATAATTTATTGCAGAAGAGTACATTTTCATAATTAATAATTTATAATTGATAAGAAGACAAAAATGTAATTTTTGAAGTAATCTATTTTTCTCCCAAGTGATTAAAAAAAATAAATCCTTTTTTTGAATGATCAAAAGAAATACATTTTTTTAAGCATTAGAAAAAATCATTTTTTTAATCATTCAAAATAAATTTTTTTTATTCATTCAAAAAAATAAATTTTTTTTAATCATTTGGGAAGAAAAAAAAGTCGTATATATACACTATAAACGACATCCTAGCCATTATGCAAGGGCATCTAGCTTGTTAACTGTGCTTTGAAAAGGCTTCCACCGATTTACGCGCTATAGTCTTTAATACGATAATTTGACCTTGTAAAGCATATTGGATTGGCTTAAATTATGCCATAATTCCAGTATGACTAAAACTACTTCCCTTTCCGTCCCATCGGCCCTTTTTTTAAATTCTCAGTAATATACTTTAAATCTTGATTTACAAAAATGTTTTCATCGCGAAAATTCCGTATTCCATTTGAAACAATAATAGAAATGGGTAATTAACGTTTCCTACTTTTGAAAAAAAAAATTGTTCTTTGTTTCTTTCTTTCTATTTCGATTTGTTTCACTTTCGAAAATATATTTAATTTTTATTTCTGTTTATTTTACATAAATTTATATTTTCCCTGCATTTTTTATTACTTTTTTTGTTTATTTTCTGTTTCTTAATTTTTGTTTCCTTTACTTTTTGTTTCGTCTATTTTTTGTATTTTGTTTTCTATTTTTGGTTCCTTTATTTATTGTTTTCTCTTTTTTTCTTTTCTTACTTTTGTTTTGTCTATTTTTTATTATCTATTTTTGTTTTCTTTACTTTTTGTTTTCTATTTTTGGTTCCTTTATTTTTTGTTTTCCCTTTTTTTCTTCTCTTACTTTTGTTTTGTGTATTTTTTATTTTCAATTTTTGTTTTCTCTTTTTTTATTTTTTTATTTTTGTTCTCTTTATTTGTTCTTTTGTTTTTTTCTTGTTTCTTAATTTCGTTTTGTCTTTTTTTTTGTTTTCTATTTTTGTTTCCTTTACTTTTTGTTTCCCCTTTTATTCTTTTTTTAGTTTTGTTTTCTTCATTTTTGGTTTTGTCTTTTTTTTGTTTTTAATTTTTGTTAAAATTTTTTGTTTTCTCTATTTATTTGTTTTCTCCAATTTTTTGTCTCACTTATTTTTTGTTCGAAAAAATACCTTTCTTGTAAATCATCATCACAAATAATATTTGATCAGAGTGTCTAGAAAAGAGGTATAAAAAATTGTGCGTTAATTTAGACAATAATGTGAACTAATAATGTTTTTATTTTTTAATTTATAACATTTGCATTATTATCATTATCCTGTAAGCTTGATTCATATTTCCCAGGACCACAAAGAGACGCTACAGCAGCTAGAGAATTCATACTAAGGATGTTTGTCGACTTAAATCCAGATAGCGAAAAGATTATTTATTCCCACTTCACATGCGCCACAGGTATGTTCCTTGCTAGATTTTAATGCCGTAATTGCCGAGCACAATCAATCCTTTGCTTTGTTTGTTGCTTTCATTGAAAAAGTAGCACTCCTGCATGCATTTTGTTCGTCTATCTATATTTTTTATTGATAAATAAAATACACGAAAAATCCAGAGGAAAATCGATATTTTGTAAATTTCCATTAAGTTGGTGAAGTTCACAATGAAAGTCAACGATTCAGAGGAAAAAATATTTTTCCTGTTACAATTTTCCGTAAATTTTTGTTTTAAATTATTTTTCACACTTTCCTGTATATTAATTAATTAAAAAAAGTAATTTAATTATTACTTAATTAAAATGCAATTAATTTAAAAAAAGAAAATTTTATAAACACGAAATTTTGTTTTTATCTTAGAAAATATTTTTTTTCTTTCAATAATTGTTGATCTTAAAGGTTGTGAACTTCACTGAAGATTTATTAATTGACGCAAATTTTCAAATTTTTTTTTTGTTAATTGAAAATTAAATAATTTTGTATCAAAGAAAAAGTTCAAAAAAAATTTTGTAAAAGAATTGAAAGTAAAATTTTTATACTTTCTAAAATTTTCTTCTTGATAAAAAAGAATAAATTTTGTTTATAAAACTATTTATTTATTAACTTTAAAATTGGTTCAAATATTTACATTCTCGTAAAAAATGAAAAATCATTAAAAAAGAGAAAAAAAGAAATTCCGTATCGATTTTCCGTTTTTTTTTTTAAAGATAATTAGTACAAATGGTTTTAATTTTGTAAATTAATTTGCATGCTGCATACACGGGACCGGAATACAGACACGGAAAATATTAAACTCGTGTTTTGCGCTGTAAAAGATACTATAATGCAAACAGCCCTTAAAGAGTTCAATCTTGCTTAAATTATTACTATTATCACTTTTTTCACAAATTGTTCGAGATTATTCTCTAATTTGTCGAACGTTTTTATTTATTTTTTTAAATATCTTCCTACTTTTCCGTCATGGTTGATTTTATTCGCGAAATATTATTTTTTCCCTTTAAATTATAGTGAAAAATATTATAAATATGTATTATTTATTATGAAACTGAAATCAGTTTTATATTAAACACATTTTTCGAAAAAATCACGTTAAGTTTTTATCTAGTAGATAGAAACGTTAATTTGCAAGTTTCAAAAATATTCATGTTCTGTAAAAAAAACTGAAAATTAAAATTGTAACGGGAAATGTGTTTTAAGGATATTATAATTTATGAAATAAGAAACTTTACAGTGATTGAAAATAAAATCATTTTTGCACAAAACGTCTCGATGTGATGTTTCGATCGTTTTCAATTGTGTCGATGTTATGATTTATTCATCAATTACTCAATAAAATTATTGTTTAAAAAGGTTTTTTCGATTTTGTGAATTTTTTTTTAGAAATTCGTTTTTTGCTGCCTTGGACGAAACTTGTTTTGTTAATTGCGCTTTTATTTGATTATTACGCATTTTATTTATTTATTTATTTATTATTAAACACGGTTTTGTGTTCGATGGGAATTGCTTTATTTTTAGTATCGTTATTCTAATTTTTTTGGTTCATTTTTCAGTTTTATTTTTTGTTCAGTGTTGTTGATTGAAGGAGAAATTCGATTTTTGTATTAAGTATATTTTTTACATATGTACTTTTAACAATTTTTGTATTTTTTTATTCATATGTTTATTTAATTTTTATTTTCGTTATTAACATTCATAATGCTTTACTACTGACAATATGAAGCAGGTGGTTTGTTTTCTTTTCACTGAAGGAATTTTTGCACTAAGACAGGAAAAATGTCATTGCATGTGTTTTTTAATTATTTGGTAAGTTTTGATTTTAAATTTCCACTTTTTCTATTTTTACTTTTTTATTGTACTAAAGAAAAATATAGTAACAGTTTAATATTTAATATTTGTTTAAATAGAATTTAATTTCTAATGTTCAAGAATAATAATATGAAATATTTGTTGACAGATACGGAAAATATAAGATTCGTGTTTGCGGCCGTGAAGGATACAATCCTGCAATCAAATTTGAAGGAATACAATTTGGTTTAGAAATTTTCTATAAAGAATTCGAAATGGATTCGACTGTTTTTTCTGTAAGCCTGAGACCAGAGCAATGGAGAGCTTGGACTTTGTTTAAATGAAGAGAAAAGCGAGAGAAGAATAAAAATGCGAAAAGAAAGAGTTTAAAAGAGTTTAAAAAACAGAGGGAACGAAGAAAACAAAGTACCGAAAAAAGGGGAATCACGTGGGAAACAAATACTGCTCGTGTTGATTGTTCGACGGCGAATTAAGTCATCACAACACGAGTGCACCAAAACTTTAGGTAGATAGGTTATGTGCGATGGAAATTCCAGCGACAAAAAACAAAAAACAAAAAAATAGACCTAAAAATCTTGAGCGTTATAGGTTCATTCCTAAAAAACAAAAACAAAAAAAAATAACCTTTTCATTGTCGATACCAACAAACTGATTTAGTTTCATACTCTATTTGTTGAATTTGTTACCTTTTTATAGCTTAGCCTAGTCGATTCGAACTCGGCTGACTGTGAAATCGCCTGATTTTTATAATAACGATAAAGAAAAATAAAAAAAATATAAACGAAAAGCAAAAAAACAAAAAACAAAAAAAAATTATAAAAACAAAAAAAATCACGAACAAGTAAACTTTTACGAAGCACAGCGTGATTTTGTCGCGCTGTGCCCCCATGTCTGTCCAAAATGTGTGTTTCAAGACGAACGATCTCAACGACGAGAACATTTCCGAGTGAAACAAGAAAAAGGAGGAACAAAAGCTTTTTAATCACGAGTAGTCGGAGACACAAGTGAGAGCAATTTTTGTGCCATTTACTAATGTGGTGTTTTTATTGCAGTCCTTTGTTAGATGCAAAAAGCCAAAGTGTTTTTTTTTCTTTTTTAATCTGTGCCAGAAACGACTAAGAGTTTTTTCTGCATGTGACTCAAATTCACGATTCATCGTATAAATATTGTTATATATAATATATATGAAGAAAAAAAAATTTGAAAACCTAGAATAGAGTCCGAAGAAATACGTCGGCAAAAAAAGCAAACAAGAAAACGCTCCTCAGACCCGTCTTTTACAATACAGCAAACTAAAAGAATTAGAAAAACAACATCTTTTTTGATGTAAGTTTTTAGGTAAAAAAAAATGAATAAATAAATAAAAATATATTATCAGGAGGCGGGAGTAAGCAGGCTTCCCTGCCTCTTTCACCTCCGAAGCCGGTGCTCGGAATGCGAGGGCTTCACAAACACTTCCCTTATTATTATCTTCATTATCATTCAATATTTACATGTAAAAAAGAAATTCAGTCCATTTTTTAATTCATCATTATTATTAGAATCGAAATCCGCGTTCTTCAAATCCTTTTTTTCTACGAAAACAAAAATCGTTTTTTACAAAAACTTCCAAAAAGAAACAATCGTCTTTGTAGAAAAAAATAATAATATTCATTTTATAAAAATATATTCTGGAAATTTACAAAACTAGTTTCAGAAGATAATTTTGTATGAAAACTACTTTCTAAAAATTTTTTTTACGAGAAAAAAAATAATTTTGTGGGAATATATTTTCCTAAAAATCTTTTTGGGTGATTGTTTTTTTATAAAATATAATTTGCCGAGAAGAAAAAAATTCCGAAGGAATGTAGACATTTTTTTTTTGACTTGGAAATTATATAAAAAAATGATTTTTCGACTAGTCTTTAAGAACTGGAAGAAAATATTCCAAAATATCTCACTATACTAGGAAAAACTCTTTCGAAAGTCGTTTCATTCTTTTTCGAAAATATGCGTAAATAAAATATCTTCCAAAAAAAGAATCCTTTTTATAGGAAATTTCTTCCAAAAAAATCGTTTTTATACGAATTTTTCAAAACTTTTTTGTAGAAAAAAACCCGTAACCAAAGCCACTTCTTTTTTTAAACAATACAATCTTCCATAAAGCTTGCAATGAATTCGTCTTCTTAATTCCGAAGATTCCGAATTAGCATTTTGTCTAGAAAATTATTCCGTAATTTTCTCTTGAGAAAAAATTTGAGGCTTCCTGGTATTTTTTCTTTCGCTCTTTTTTCGTTATTTTGATAGAAAAAAAAGTTCGTTTCGATTTTGAGAAAAGGAAACTATGTTAGAAAAAAAAACGAGACGAACTTGATATTTATTTAATTTAGGATTTTCACTTGAGGAAAAAAAAGGAAAAAAACAGGAACGCCCACTTGGTTATAGGAGGAAAAAAACGCGGAGGAGGTAGACTGATTAAATACTGAACTAATCGATTTTTCTTTACAATGTGATACTAGTTATGGGAGCATCTAAACGTCCCAGAGAAGACGAGTCTGCAAGGCGTGACAAAATTGTGAAAATCAAAAAAAAAAAAAAAAAATCCGACTCTGTTTTCTTCTTCAAAATGCGTCTCGCTTTGTGGTTAAATTTTTTTGTAAAACGCGAGAGTGAATTTGAAATCATTTTTGCGTATTGCCTTAATGTGTCTTTTTTACTGGTCCGAGAAAGACTTCTTTTATTTTATATTTAATAACTGCTGAAACATTTTTTTGTGGAAAAAATTTGTACTTTTAATAGAAGAATTTTTTCTTTTGATTTTTTTTAATGATAAACATGTTTTTTACGAGATAAAAATGTTTTTGAATGATGAAAATGTTTTTTACGAGATAAAAAAATGTTTTTAGGGGGAAAAAAAAGTTTTTTTTTTATACAAAGGAAACTTTTTTAACACGAGTGATATAAAGTTATAAACTTTTATAGTTTTGCTTCTGGAGCAATGAAAATGTGCATTTTTAGTTTATAATATTGCGAAGAATATTTGTTATTAAAATTTTATTTATTTTGCTTTGTAAGCTAATTCTAAAATTTTTTTGTAAATGTATTTTTAATTTAATTTTACATTCTTTTAGGATTCAAGGGTTTTTTTTTTGCAAAGTTGTTTATAAGAGGCAACGATTTCTTTTCTCCTTGAAAACGTGTGATTTTGTTTTATTCAAGTTCTTCACTGGGAAAAAAAGTGTAAATGTTTTTTTTCTACTTCGAGATAATTTCATTTCTCCTGGCTGCAAGACTAACACAATAACTGTTGGAATTGAAATAAACAAAAAAAAAAAAATATAAAGCAATGACAGGAATTGAAAGTGAGAATAAATGATTATTTATCGAATTTTGAGAGAAAAGTGGCAAATATTTAAAAAAGGATATATATATATATACAAATGTAGAATTAGTTTTGTTTCTATCAGTGTCGGTATAAAAAAAACAATGACTTTTTATACAGTTGTGTTCGAAATAGATTTTACAATAGGCTGATGACAAGATTTCAAATTCACAATCGTTGAAAAAATGGCATTTAAAAAAAAATTAAATTAAAATAAAATTAGTGAATAAATCCGCGAAGCGAACGTCGTATCCGTTACTCTGTCGATGTAGCCCTCGCCTGTCGGCACACAAGAGCATCGCGTAACAAGCGACAGGAATTTTTTTTTCCTTCTTTTTTTTATGGCGAAAAAAATGTTCTTGTTGCTTGCTTGCTCTGTCTCCATCTTTTTAAACGTATGAACTGCTCACTGCCTGCGCTCGCTCATTTTGCTGGGCTAGCGCGCTGCCCAAGTGTGCCAGTGTTTCTTTAGGAAAACAAAAAAAATTGTCCGCTGATTTCACCATCTCTGCAAAAAATCACTCTCGTTTTTTTACGTAACAAAAAAAAATTAAACGTCTGACCATCCGGAGATGATGAATTCAGCCAAAAATTCTGAAGAACACTAGCATACTGGAAAACCTATTTAAAAAAAAGGCAACGCAAAAATATATTTAGCCTTGAAAATCAAAAAAAAAGAAAGGGATAAAAAATTATAATATGTAATTCTATACTATGTGCAATTGCATATTTTCAAGTTGAATGAATTTTTGCTCTTCAAAAAAAAGAAAAATTAACTTTTTTTTTCCTTTTTGGAGATTTGCCCCTCACACGCACACCGGGCAGCATTACGTCATACTTACCTTGGTTGAATCACTGAGTTTATATGGAAGAATACAAAATATATAAAATGCATTGGATAAAGTATAATAATAAGAGGATAACAACAAATAATAATGAATAATTATATTACAGCTTGAATTTAAGAGTGAGTGTGTGAAAAGAAAATGGGGTGATGGAAAATGTGCATATAATAATTTCTGAATGATCGCCAAAAAACAAATAATGTTTGAATGAGACAACAAAAATTAAAGAAGCACAAAAAAAAGAAAGAAAATCAGGCAACGAGTATAAAAAAAAGTATGAGATTCTACAATATTTGCGCGAACATGTGAATTGATTTGTAATTTGTATGAATGTGAATGAAGAAAAAAAAGAAATTTTTAATTAATACACCCAAAAAAAAAAATTGGGAGAAAAAGAGAGAAAGAGGCGATGCCTGTTTATGAAAAAAGTGAATGAATGTGAAAAGAAAAAAAACGCAAACTTTGTGGCTAATACTTGATTTGTAAATCATTTCTTGTCAAAAAGTAACGAGTTTTTTTTCTGAAAGCGTAAAATATGTTGGGTATTCTTTCTGTGTGTAAAAATGTAAACACCTACAACAAAAAAAAACCCACGATGAAATCAATGTTTCTAACTTATTTATAATAAATAATATACATTAATGATACAAAAATAAACGCAGTTTTGCGATTAACATTAACGTACTGGACGTTAAGCGATACTGAACCTTTCCTGATCTTTTATTTTTATTTTCTTTTTTTTATGTTCGATTTTCTTTTTTATAATTTATGAATATTTATAAAATATATAATACAGAATTTATAAATAGCTTTATTTATTTATTTATTTCAAAGTAGTTTATGAAACTAAAAAAACTAAAACTTTTTTATTTTTAAAATATGTATCATTTTTGAGACAATAACAATTTTTTTTATCACAGGTATTAAGTTTACTCTTTTTCCTGTTTTTTTAGTAAAAAATTCAATTTTTTTTTATTTGCAGAAAATATGATTTTTTTTTCTTCTGCTTTACTTTTTTTGGCAATTTTGTTTTATGGGTGATTCTCTGCAAAAGGACAAATCACACATTCCCGTTTTTTTTAAATAAAATATATTTTAATTTAAATTATTCAAATATATAGAAAATGAAATATAAATTTAAATTATTTAAAATTTAGTTTAATTATTTAATTGTTTAATTTAATATTATTAAAATTTAAATTATTGAAAATTCTGACAGTCATACGATAAATTTTAACAATTTTCTATTTTTTCAGTGAGTTTTTATTTAATTTTTCAATTTTTAGTGATTTGATAATTAAGGAAAAATTCATAAAAAGTAAAATAACTGATTTATTTTTTAAAAAAAGAAGAATCACCCCATAATGAAAGAGTGAAAAAGAAGAAAATTTTGTTTAAAAAAATAATTAGAAAACAATTATCACCGTTGATTTTTATGTAGAAAAATCAGAAATTAAAAAGAAATTTCTGAACCTGAAACCGATTCTATGGAGAAAAGAAACATTATTGTAAGTTCATAGTTATTTAATTATTGTTAATACAGATTTAAAAATTTCTTTATATTCCTCAAAGGCAGTAATTATTTATAAAATTTTTTTTCCTATTTTTTACAATATTTTTTTAAATATAATTCAATAGAATTTGTAAATTGAACATTTTTTTCTTAACAAATACCTTCATTCTAATTTACTAAACAATTTTGTTTCTAGGAAAAATTTGACTTTATTATTTTTCGACAACTTTCAGGAATTTGGAGAAATAATCAATGAATCGTAAACAAGAGTTTTGTATTTTGAATTGAAAGAAATTTGAACACTAATTGTCTTTTAATTTTAGGTTGAAGAGTGAAAACTTAAATGTTTTATATGTAAAAATATTAAAAATTACATTTAAAATAATAATAATTGCAATTTTCTGTCAATTAGAAATTAAAATAAGAAAATTTCAATTTTAATTAGAAATTTCAATTAAAAGATTAGTTTTGAATAAATAATATTTCTTTTTGATAAAAAATTGCATATTTTTATTAAAATTCAACTTTTGTCTGAAATATTAAAAATGAAATTGTTTACAAAAAAACATTTTTATCTTTTCATTTCTTTTAGAAACATTTTTACCTTTAAAAAAAATTTATTTTGAGAAAATAATAAAATTATTAATTTTTTTGTCATACGATCAATTTAATGAAAAACAATAATTGTTAATTAATTATTAATAAAAATAAAAATTTATATATAGCGTTGAAGAAACTTTTCAGTTCATTTCTTGTTTGGAACAAAAACAAAGTTTATTGATTAGTCCAAAGTAGTATAAAAAGATTTTTAAAAAATTAATTCTAAATTATATTTTGATTCTGAATTTTAAATCTAAATTATTTTTTGATTTTTTCAGTTGAAAGAGAAAAAAAGGAACAAAAAAGGACCAATGGAGCTTCATTTAGACCGTTTCTTCCTTTTCAAAGACTTTGGGTAATATTTTTCAGATTTTATTTTTTTAACACTGTAAATTTTTTTTGAATCAGGAAAAAATCAATGAATTTTTGTCAGTCAAGAAAATTGGGATGAAAATCTTTTTTTTTTTCTTTTTGAAAGAAAATTGACAAACTGTTTTTGAAGCAGGAAAAAATCAATCAATTTTTATCAGTCAAGAAAAATCGGAAAAAATCATATTTTTTGTTTGTATAGAAAATTGACAAACATCAGTAAATTTTTATTTGAAAAACCATTTATCAAAAATAAAATTTTTTCTAGTGATTCAATAAAATTCACACTCTGGAAAATATTTTTCTCAGAGCGAATTAAACTTTTTGTTGCAAATAAAATCTATTAACCCCTTAACAGTCCATGGCCCATATATGGCCACGAAAAGTCGTGCCACCTTTGCGTCTGTGGCCATATATGGCCATCTCAAAAAAAAAATACTAAACATGATTTGATTTTAGTAGCGAAGTACATACTACTGTTTTTGGGGTCGCTGAATCCGAATCTGAAGTCAGATTTAAAAAATTCAAAATGGCGGACCCAAAATGTTGACTTCGAAAAATAAAAAAATTTCAAATTCGCTTTAAACTCGTTACTTGGGGGGTTTTCGGGGTCTCTGATTACAAATATGATGTCAGATTTTTAAAATTCAAAATGGCGGATCCAATATGGCGGATAATTTCAAGATTGATGCGATTCGATTAAAATTCGTTTCTCGGGGGTTTTTGGGGTCGCTGAATTTGAATTTGATGTTCGTTTTACAAAATTCAAAATGTTGGATCCAATATGGCGGATAATTTCAAAATTTATGCGTTTTGATCGAAATTCCGTTCCCGGGGTTTTTTGGGGTCGCTGAATTCGAATTTGATGTTCGTTTTTCTAAATGCTAAATTTTGGATTCAATATGTCGATCAAATTTTTTGAATGTTGACAAATTTGTCTAAAATGTTTACTCAGGGGTTTTTGAGGTAACTTCATATTTTTTTCGCATCAATCTTGAAATCATCCGCCATATTGGATCCGCCATTTTGAATTTTGAAAATCTGACATCATATTTGTAATTAGAGACCCCGAAAACCCCCGAGTAACGAGTTTTAAGGGAATCTGAAAAAAAATTTTTTTTTGAAGTCGACATTTTGGGTCCGCCATTTTGAATTTTTTAAATCTGACTTCAGATTTGGATTCAGCGACCTCGAAAACCCCCGAGAAATGAATTTCCCTTAAAACGCTTTAATTTTAAAATTATCCACCATATTTGGTCGCCATATTGGATCCGCCATTTTGAATTTTCAAAAATTAACCTCAAATTCGAATTCAGCGACCCCAAAAACCTTATATATGATTAAATCATATTTTTTTGTAAACTTTTTTTTCGGACCGTTTTTGGACCACAAGCGATTTTCAACTAGACTGCGAAGGGGTTAAGTTGAATAGAATTTTACTTGGTTCAAATGAAAATTATATTTTTGTCGAATAAAATTTTTGTTTGAAACAAATAAATAATTCAGTAGACTCTGAGATAAATATACTTTTATTTAATTCAAATAAATAATTTTGTGTAAAGAATAATAATAATAAAAAATAAATACGGTTTTTAAAAAAAAAATTTGGCCTATAAATTGAATTTTTCTCTAGGTGTAGTTTTAACTTTAAAAAAATTTCCACTTTGGAAAAAGAGAAGAAAGGCAATATTATTGAGAAAAAAATTCCATTTTTCGGCAAATGGAATTTTTTTTATCCTTTCCATGAATTTTTGTCATTATAGATTTTTTCTAGTCTAAATTTTGTTTTCAGATCTGGAAAATACAGAAAATATTCGGTGAGGAAAAAACAGTCGTGAAGAAGGATTTTGATACCTCGAAAATTGAAGTTGTATCCCGCCCCATTAATTCACCCTCTCAGCTCCTGCAGTTTTTGGCATCAATGGAAAAAGGAGGGGTTGTTGGTTACCAACCCATCGCACGAGGAGGAGGAAAAGGAATCTTTACCTTCGGTTTTAATCCATGGTAGGGGATGTGATGTCTTTTAGCGCAAGCGCGCTCAAAATTTCTCTGCGTCCCCCTTTTGGAATGGATATTATATAGTTCTCGACGAACTCTCTTTAATGCGCACCCTGAGAGCACATAAGAAAAAGGCGCATCCACCAAAGCTGCCGCTTGGTTACAATATTGTACAGTCAAAGAGGAACCAAATCCTTGGGTGTCGCCCCGTCGACTGTTGACCAACTCAAAGACTGCTGCACCCACATTATCATCCCAAGGAACCTCAATTTGACCTTCAAATTTTTTTTCCAAAAAATTTTCACACCCAAGGATTCAAATTATACTTCAAATTAGAAAATTAAAATGAATCTCCTCGAGGAAGAAGAAACTGACGAGTGAGTACTTTTTTAAAATTCAAAACGAATGTTAATTAAATAATTGTAATTATACTTTTGCTCCATTTTCTCATTTCCTGTTAAATTATATCTGAAATTCAATTATTTTTCCAATTTTCGCACAGAATTAATGAAAATTAAGGAAAAGTTTGCAAAATTTTGTAAAGATATCCAAAAATCAATTTTTTGAATATTCTGACAAATTCAAGATTTGTTTTAAGAGGAAAAGTTCTATTTAGAAGTCCCCTAAAAAATTATTTCTGGAAAAAGACTTGAAGAGAAAGAAAGAAGATTGGAAAAATATCCAATTTTTTTTTTCTATTTTCGTTTTCTATTTCTACTTTTTCTTTTTGAACTATATTTACTATTTATTTTTGAACTATATTTTATAGTTGATAGAAATTTTTCTGAATTGTTTATTTTTTTCTGTTTTTGCTAAAAAATATCTTTTGAGAATTAGAAAATATTTGAAATAAATAATATTGTGCGGCAGTGTACGAAAATAACATCTGTTTAGTCAATACTAATTTAAATATTCCCGAGGAGTAGAGAGTCGTTAATTCAGGAAAGTTAGCTGATTTAATTAAACGCAAACCTCACTTGTTATGGATTTTTTTAAACATTTATTAATTGTTAAAGAAAATAAGAAAATTAAATTTTCCTGAGAAATAATGCTAGTGAAATGAAAATTTTTCTTTCGTATTGAGAAAATTAGAAATTATTCTCATTGACATTTTTTTTAAACACTGTAGAAATGACTCAAAAATTATCGAAAATCTAATATCTAATCTAATCTTCTTTGTTTTAAATTAGAGATAAAAAAAAATTGCGTTTTTTTGTAGGTCAAAATTACTGATATCATTCAAGGTGAATAAATTAAAATAAATTTTTCTTTATACTTGAGAATTATTAATAATTTCAATTACAATTTAATTTCAATTTCCATTGAGCTTCAAATTCCATTTCAGTTTTAATAAATAAAAATTTATATTAATAAATATTAATGTACACCCAGGAAAAAAAATATATTTGACTCAGAGCCTTCTAAACTTTTTATTTGTTCCAAATAAATTTTATTTGCGTCGACTGAAATTTTTATTTAAAACAAATAAATAATTTAGTGGGCTCTGAGACAAATACATTTTAATTTAACTCAAATAATTTGTATTTGCTTCAAATAATTTTTCTGTAGGTAAATATTTTTTATTTATTAAAACACTACTAATTAATTAAAAAATCTTTTTGAAAAATTAAAAAAAATATATTTTTAACAGTTTAAAATATTTAATTTTATAAATTAGTTTTTCCAACAATTATAAATTTTGTTTGCTAAATAGAATTAAATTGAAATAGAATTAAATTGAAAATTAATCGAAAAAATAAATTTTTCGAAATATAAGAACCTTAATTTTGTAATTAATTACTCGTTGAATGTATAGGAAATAATTTTTATTTTTGTCAATAATTTTAACATTTTTCAAGACTATAATAATAATTTAAGGGAAGAAATTAGTTGAGAAAGAATTTTGTTGAATGATTCTATTTCGCAGTGAAAACTGTTAGTAATGAAAAAACGTAATTGAAATTAATAATGAAAAAAAGAAAAATTCGTTTCTGGAAATATTTCTTGTATTATTACTGACTTTGAATAGCGGTGTTCCGTGGAGACTTGTAATTTCTTTCTTTTTTTCTTTTCTTTCTTTTTTTTTGAGACAACCGACAATCATTTCGCTATTTCCCTCAACTTTTTGTTTCACTTATCCTGAAATCCATTCACTCGAGGGTAAATCTGTAACTTTCATTCTCACATTTCTCTCTTAATTTTATTGATTTCAGTTTTCTCGATTTTAACTTTTACCGCAGCATAAAAAATAATAATACATCTAAAGTTCCGAAGAAATGTGTTTATAATAATTGGAATAGTAATTGAAAAAAATAATAATTTGAAAAGAAAATAATAATGAAAAAAGTTAACAGATAAATAATAATAAATAAAAAGTGTTTTGTCTTATAATGGAATTTATCACTTGGTGAAAAATAGGAATAATAAATAAAATATGTAAATAATAATAATAAAAAATAATACTAATAAATAAATAGATAAATATAAATAAATATAGTAGGTAGTAAATAAAAAGTAGTAATAAATATAAAACAGTAATAAATAAAAAATAGTAAGAAATAAAAAATAGTAATAAATATAAAATAGTAATAAACAGAAAAATAGTGGTAAATAAAAAGTAGTAATAAATAAAAAACAGTAATTTGAATAAAAAATAGCAATAATTGAAAAATAGTAATAAATACAAAAGATAATTATAAATAAATAATAATACCAATAATAATAGTAGTAATAGTAAAAGTCTTAAAATAATAAAAATTATACTTAATTATTTACGGAAATTTTTTTTTTTTTTAAATATTAGACTTTGTTTTGAAATAAAAGAATTAGGGATAAGATATTAGACAAAGAATATTTTGAGTTTATTTATTATATACTTATAGTGTTTGATGAAAGAATATAGATTACTGCAGTTGAACAGACGATCGATGAAACTGTTATAGACGACATAGATTACAAAATATATATATGTACATGTACATTCATGCAAGTGTACATGGAAGCGTATTGTGTAGATTTCAATAGTCTTGTAAATAGTAAAATATAATTGGACATCCTCATATGGAGTTTGACATTTTTCAAATATATCTCCATATATTATACATTAAAAAAGATTTGCAAACATTTTCAATTTAATAAGCAAGAATTTATTTTTTATATTTACATTTTTTATTTTTTAAAAATATTTTTTCAGTTTTAATTTTACATAGAAAAGAGTAAAATTAATAAAATTATGTTTACAGAATAAAATTTATAATAAAAATAAATATTTATAGATATTTTCAATTTTCCAATATTTTTTTATTTTTTAATTTTACAGAGAAAAGAGTAAAATTAATCAAATTACAGTTAGAATAAAATATATAATGATCATTGATACTAAAATAATTTAATTTTTTTCACTAATAATTTTATTGTTAATTCAGAATTAAACCAGAGAAAAATTTATTTTAACCAAATTTAAATTATTTGAGTTAAATAAAAGTGTATTTGTTTCAGACTTTATTAAATTATTTATTTGAAATAAAAATTTTATTCGACACAAATAAAATTTTTATTTGAACCAAATAAAAAGTTTGGTAGGCTCTGAGGAAAATCTATTTTTTTCTGCGGGTGTACATTTTTTGTTATGATTCTTTTAATACTTTTTATTATTTTTATAATTATTATTATTATTATTATTATTATTATTATTATTATTATTATTATTATTATTATTATTATCACCATTATTATTATCACCATTATTATTATCATTATTATTTTTAAAAAAATCAATTTTTTAATGAGAAGAATAATTCTGCATAAATTAAATTTAATTAATGTGCGTAAGGTGCACTTGATTTTTTCTCCCCTCGAGGAACTACATTATTTGAATATTTTTAATAAAAAGAAATTTACAGAAGATATATAAAATTTAGTCTGGTAGTGATAAAACTTTATTGGAAAAACTTTCATGGCACTCCTTTATTTAATTATAAATTTAATCAATTACTTCGTATCTCGGACGTTAATGGTTGTTAATTTCTTTTTTTCCAAACAATGACGTTCACTGGGGAATTTTTTTATACTTTAATTTTATTTTTTCGCCTATTTCAATTTTTTTTTATATTTATTTTAGACTTTTTTAATTTATTTTTTTTATTTACCTTTTTATTCTTTTGAATTTATTATTTTTGTTTACTTTTTTCTTTTTTTAATTTATTATTTTTATTTACTTTTTTCTTTTTTTAATTTATCATTTTTATTTACTTTTTTCTTTTTTTAATTTATCATTTTTGTTTCCATTTTTTTGTCTATTTTTTGCTGACGTGAAATCACCTTCCCTGTATTTTTTCTGTTTATTAATTAATTAAATCGGTTCGCGAGTTATTATTTTATTTCGTAATTTCAGAACTCCATAAAAACAACCTCTGAATGTGGTTGTGCAAAATAAAAAAAAATTGTTTAGTTTTCTCCTGTAAAATGGTTTTTTTTCAATGCATTTTCAAGCATCGGGATATTATATAATCGGGCGAACTGTTGTACAATTTGCATCGAATTTCGATAGGCGACTAAAGACGATACACAAGTTTATTGGAAATTAAATTATAGATTTATTTTCAAAAAAGTCTGCTTTTAAATTTTATATTAGAATTTTAATTGAAAATCGATTCTTCTCATGAAGTAGAATTCTTTGATTAGTTATTATTTATTTGTACATTTTTTTAAACATTTATTTATACATATTTATTATTTTTTAAATTAAAATTGATATTTTTAAATAGAAATCTAAAATTTTTAAATTTTAAATTTGATGTTTAAACATTTTGTTCAAATAAAGGAAATTTATTTATTTTTTTAAATAAATATTTGTTTTTCAATGATTGAATATTTACTTTTCAAATTGAAATGAAATTTTTCAGAAATGAAATTTTTTTTACTAGTTATCATGAGAAAAAATATGATACAAATATTTTTGTACACTTAGATTTGATTCTTTGTTAAAATTTTTAGAGCAACTGTTGATGATTATTACAAATGCTCGAGGTTAAAATCTTTATTCTACCGTAAAAAATTGTGATAATCTTTCGTTATTATATAGATATTTTATATACTCGGATGACTAGAAATTAGCTCGCCTCAGACATTCCATGTTTTATTACTCTCAACTTTTTTCTCATTCTAGTTTGCTAATTAAATCATCATTAATTATGATAATATTATCGTAATTATTAATTACGAATTAAAATAATAATTTAAAATTAATTCAGTCTTTGCTTATTTTTACTTCTTTTTTTGAATTTCTTTTCGTTCAGTCTTCTTATTTATTTGCATATTAATTTGTTGATTTAATTACAAAATTAATTTCTATTTGTATTTTAAATAATTAATTTTTATTAAATTAAATTTTTAAAAATGTTGATCAAATTTCTCATAAAAATTCAATTATTTTTTATAAATAATACAATCTTTTGAAAGAATTCAATTATTTTCAACAATTTTAATACAATTCTTCGAAAAAATTCAATTATTTTCAACAATTTTAATAAAAAACTTCCAAAAAATTCAATTATTTTCAAAAATAATAAAATTCTTCTCAGTAATTCAATTATTTTCGAAAATATTGATAAAATTTCTTATAGTAATTCAATTATTTTAATAAACAATAAAAATCATCACATCAATTTAATTATTTTAAAGAACTTTTATAAAATTTTTCGTAAAAAATCAATTTTTTGAATAAATAATAATAAAAATCATTGAAACAATTCGACAATTTTCCGAAATTTTTCCCCAAAATGAAATTATTTTCTAAAATTTTGATAAATCTTTTCGCAAACATAAAATTATTTTCTAAAATAATAAAATTCTTGAAACAATTGAATTATTTTTCAAAATTTAAATAAAATTCTTCGTAAAAATTCAATTATTTTTACAAATAATAAAATTCTTCGAAGGTATTCAATTAATTTCAATACGATGTCAATTAAATTTCTCGAAAAAATTTAATTATGTTCAGAAATTTTAATAAAATTCTATGCAATAATTAAATTAGGAAACAAAAATGGAAAGAAGAACTAAATTCAAATTGCGAATAGACACTCAGAGTACAACGGTTGTTAATTAGATCATTAATTTTTATTTAACTGAATATTTTTTTATTTAACTAAATTATAAATTTTTGTTTAATCAAATTATTAATAATTAAAAAATACTGTCATACATTTGAAAATTGTGTTCACAATCTCAAAATACAAAAGGAAATAATGAAAATAATTTGTAAATAATTAAAAAAATTTTATTGTAGAATAAAAATAATTTTTTCGATTCTCGAAAGACAAGTAAGTACCTAAATAAAAATAATACAAATTTATTTTTTAAAATAATTTTTGTAAAAATTAATTTTCAAAAAGAAATAGAAAATTATTTGGAAAAATGTAAAAATTGTAGTCAGATTTCTATTTGAATTTTTGGAAAAATGTTTACATCGCGCCCGATGTTTGAAAATGGAAAGAGTTTGAGGAGAAGGAGAATATTTTAAAGGGCACATTGCATCTTATGAACAGACGGAATGCAGTCTATATAAAATGTTGTCTATATGTTGGTTTGTCAGCTGCCAGACGAAAATGTGGTAGTAAGCTGGCAAACCGTGAACTGTTAACTTGGTGGGACGAAAGCTTATAAAAGGTTTACTCCTAACAACCAAAGTTTATTACAAGACTGTTATTCGTCTCTATAGAATTGTGTAATTCCATATCAAAATTTTGTCGCCAATAAATTTTTATACTCGAAAAATTATTTCTTTATCAATAATAATAATTTAGTAGAACTGTAATTAAATTACTTGTGTGCTGAGAAGAATTTTTCGCTCGCTGTGCCTACTCAATTTTATACATCTATATATACATGACACTCTAATAAACAGTATTCGCGAATAAATTAATATTAATAGTTGAAAATAATTAAACAACAGTCTTGTGAGAATTGTTTTTTGAAATTTGTTAATTTATCAATTTATCAATTTTTCAATTTTTCAATTTTTGATATTTAAACAAAAAAAAAATGCCGGAATGTACATGTGATTATAAGAGAGTTGAAGGCGAGGACAATCACGAGTGTCAGTTAAAACTCCCAGTGGAAGAGGTCCTTGAACACAAAATAAATAAGGAACGTCCCGTTGATGAACATAATCAACTCAGGTATTTATTTCTTAGCTCAAGTAGTGAAACCAAAGGTATTTTAAACCATAGGCTCCAAATTATTTTTAGTTTCCTTTTTTTTATTAAAATTCTCCAATTTTTCAATTTCGAAAAAAATTGTTTGCGATTTATTTTTCGAACTTATTTTTCTATTAAATTTTATTTTTTATTTTTAAGAAATTTTTTTCAGAAATTAATTTACAAAGGTTAATCTACAGATACCGAATTATTTTCAATTTCCTTTTTTTTAATTAAAATTCTATTTTTCAAATTTAAAAAACAAATTGTCGATTTATTTTTCTATTTTTTAAGCAATTTTTTCCAGAAATTAATTTTTGGTATTTTGAGAAATTTTTGCTTGATGAGATGGGATGAGAAATAAATAAAAATCCTGCTGGGAGTTTTATTAGTGGAGGGAAAAATAAATGAACAGGTTCCATATTATGATTCTGAGTAAATATTGTTTATCTTTGACAATTATGATGTAATAATTTTATCTCAGAAAACAGGTTTTTGTATCAAATGTTGACACTTGTCATATTAAGAATGCATTTTTTATTAACTCTTTTTCGAAAGTTTAGTTTTTATTTAAAAATACTGTAACTTGATTTTTTTGTAACTGTTTTTTTATTTTCGTCATTAAAAAAATGAATTTCTCTCGCAGGAGAGAAAAGTCATCAAAATTTCACAATGGTTGAAGTTTAACTGACTGAATAGAGAAGTGAAAGGACCAATTACTAACGGAATGACTCGGATATTATTTAAATGACTTTTTTACGTTCTTTTTAAATTATCCTTTTTAATTTTTCCCCTTCTCTATTTTTTCTTTTCTCTCTTTTCTATTTTTTCCGTTTTTCTTTTTTTTATTTTCTACTTTTCCCTTTTCTATTTTTTCTTTTCTACTTTTTCCTTTTTTTATTTTTTCTCTTCTACTTTTTCCTTATTCTATTTTTTTCCATTTTTTCTACTTTTTCAAAAAAAAAAATTTTCTTTTTACTTTTTTTCAATCTTTGGAAAATTTAATTTTATCGAACTTTGTATTCTTATTTTATTTTTTATTTTAGGAAAATTTTATTTACTGTAGTTATTAAAAATAATTGAATTAGTTTATAAAAAATTCGTAGTCTCGAGGTAAATTTCTTTCGATAGAACGAAATTGCGAGAAATTGTCAATAACAATTAAAATTGAAAAAAATACCTTTTGGCAGAGATTTCCCAGGACTTTTGCGTGAGAAAAATAAATATTGAGCCACATGATGCAATTATCATTCGATTAAAAAATCTTTTTTTGGAAATATATTCATATAATTCCGACTAATAATGAATAATAATAATAAATAAAGAAAATCACAACACTTTTGTTTACAAAAGTTGACTTCTATGCGTGATTTCAATTTTAAATCGTCCAAATTAAAAACAATTCTTACGAAAAGTAATTAGAATAAATAAAAATAAATGAAAAAATAAAAATTACTTTGTAAATAAAATGAAAATTTTATTTAATAGAGAAAATAGAAGGAAAAATAGAAAACTTAAATTAAAGATTGAATTTTTTTTTGAAAGGTATCATACCAACGACTTGTGGTTCTTCTGTTTATTCTCCATTTCGTCACTTCTATTCTGTGCGATTTAAAAAATTTTCCACTTATTCTTTTTAGAGTTCAGTGACGAATTGATAACGTCTCATAAATAATATTGATTGATAAGCAGATGCAACAGGAAATGAGTGAAAAATGAGAAAATTAGTTTTCGATAAATTTCAAATTAATATCAATCAAATATTAATAAGTGATTAATTATTGTTTATGTCAATTAATTTTGCCCATTTTTTTAGGTATCGAGATGGATCCGTCAGACTCAGGAATCCTAACATCGAACTCATGGATCAAGATATCCTTTATCATCTGGCGCTTGGAAGTGGCTCTCACGACCTGGTGGAAATGTTCGGAGACGTAAAGGTAAATTTTATTTATTTCTTCCGTAATTTTTATTTGCTGAAAAGAAAAAAAAGTGTAATGTAGATAAAAAGCATTCTCAATTTTTTTTCTACTTAATTAAATAACTGGAAATTAAATAAAATTCAGTGTTTTTTGTTTCAAAAAATTGGCAAATTAAAAATGGATAAATAGCAATCTTTCAGAATTTTTACGAAAAAAAAATTTTTGGGAAAAACGAACAAAATTAAAATAATTTGGAACATTTTTTATTCATGTTTTTAAAATTAGAAAATTTTTACTCATTGGAATTTGTTTCTATCGGTGAAGAATGGAAAATTAATCAATGATTTTCTAAACTCGTGTTATATTCAAATTAGATATTGCATCACTGCGATAATTTCTCTGACATAATCTATAATCGTATAAATGTTCTTCATGATTTGCTACAAGTAGCTGAATTGATTCTGATTATCATCGGAACGATTGCAATTCTATATTTAAATTTTTTTTCTTGTATTATTTATAAAATTCAAATTTGTAACGAGCAGATTAATAGCAGTTATGAGCAGAAAAATCGAATGTAAAATTCTAAAATAGAAAAAAATGTAAAATTTATTAAATAGATTTTTTAAATTAAATATTTTTAAAAGATATATTATTATAATAATCTTTGATTTCCGGATATCTGTTCTGTAAAGTTTTATTATTTATGAAAATAATTGAATTTTTGTAAAGAGAAAATAATAATAATTTTTTAAAAGAATTTAAATAAAAATTTTTGAAAAAAAATAATTCAAATTGTTCTGAAAATAATTGAATTCTTCCGAGACACTTTATTAAAATTCAAATGAAAATAATTGAATTAATTAAATTTAATTAAAATTGTTATGAAAATAATTGAACTCCTGCGAAGAATTTTATTATTTATAAAAATAATTGAATTCTTGCGAAGAATTAGTTTAAAATTGTATTGAAAACAATTGAATTCTCTCGAAAAATTAGTTTAAAATTGTATTGAAAACAATTGAATTCCTTCTAATTGAATTAGAATTGAATAATTAAATTCTTGCGATAAATTTTATTAAATAAAATTTAAATTATGAATCCAAAATCATTCAGCACTTGAAATAATTGTTATTTGAAAGTAAAAAAATTAGAAAGCACAATAATAAACCAAATACAAAATGAAATTTCACTGCTTTTTTCTCTAATAAGAAATTTATAATCATTTTCCAAAAATAGATATTAAAAATAAAGCAAAATTGGAAATTTTCAATCTTACTTTGTTAGATCAATAAGATTTATAATTAGAAATTATATCTGCAAAAAATTTGAAAAATTTGAAAAATTTTGTTAAATCGATAAAATGTAGAAACTCAAAAATGAAAATTACTTGAAAATTACTTTAATGGAAATTTTCGTGAAAATTATTCTTTGTAAGGAAATTTGTTTTTAAAATAATTTTCATAATTTAGCAATTGATATACTTGAGTGACTAATAAATTAACTTCAAGTCAAAGTTAACTCTCTCGCAGCAAATTTGAACTATTAATTTTTAACTCAATGATTAGAAAATTGTTTGATGAAATCAAAGAACTTATATGTGAAACGCTTTGAATATTTCAGTTCGTGTGCATGGGAGGAACTCCCAAGCGAATGGAGCAGTTCGCTTCCTTCATTATGGAAGAAATAGGTCACAAACTTCCTGCAGGAACGACACTGCTCGACATCAGTCAGTATTCTTATCGTTATTCAATGTACAAAGTCGGTCCTGTACTTTCCATCAGTGTAAGTACCTTCAATATTTCATCAAAGATATTATACCAGAAATATATATATTTATAATTCAATAAATAATTCAAACATTCGAATTCATTTTCAAAGTTGAAGAACTTTTATTATTAGTTCAATAATCAATCAATTTTATTCGCTATCGAATTCACTGGTTTTATTTGTCGATTAAAATAAATTGCAATGACTCTTGATTGAAAACAAATAATTTTCCTTGACATTGAAAATGGAATGTAGAACAATAAGTGAATAAATATTTTCTGATCTTTATTTTTATTTTATTTTTAGCATGGAATGGGTATTCCATCGGTTGGAATTCTTCTGCACGAAATCATTAAATTAATGTATCATGCAAGAGTCAAGGATCCTGTTTTCTTTCGACTTGGAACATGTGGTGGAATTGGCTTAGAACCAGGAACTGTCGTTGTCTCCGAGGAAGTTGTCGATGGAATGATGAATCCATATCTTGAATGTGTAAGATTTTTTTTTATTTTATATTTTTACTCTCTAAAAGCATAAAAAAAGGGTTCGCTAAAATGTGATTTTTCTTTTTAATTTTTCTTTTCTATAAAATAAAATGTAATTTTCATCATTTTTTCATTTCATGAAATTTACATTTTATTTTATAGAAAAGAAAAGAAATGAAAATTACATTTTATTTTATAGAAAAGATTTTTTTTTATAGAAAATTTCAATTTATATTAAAAAAATCGTTTCGTTTCAGCCAATTTTAGGAAAATTAGTTCGTCGACCAGCGAAACTGGATCGACAATTGGCACGTGAATTGAAAGCCCTCGCTCATCACGATGATCCTTACGATACGGTGGTTGGAAAAACAATGTGCTGTAGCGATTTCTACGAAGGCCAGGGCCGTTTGGACGGTGCATTCTGTGATTTTTCGGAAACTGAAAAAATGGAATATCTCACTAACGTTCACAGTAATAATGTTCTAAATATTGAGATGGAGAGTCTTGCCTTCGCCGCTCTGACTCATCACGCTGGAATTAAATCCGCTGTCGTCTGTGTCACAATGCTGGATCGACTTAAGGGCGATCAGGTATTTTTTCTATTCATTTCCTTTTTTTTAATTTCCCCTTGTTTCCAATTTTTATTTACCAAATTTTATTTTTAGTCAAAAAGTAAATATATAAAAAAAAATAATTACAAAAAATTAATTACAAATTTAAAAAAACGAATTACAAAAACTAATTTTAAAAAATTAATTAAAAAATATATTTTTGATAAATAATGTTGTATTGTAAAAAGTGAATTCTAATTTTGATTCTTCCAACAGGTCAATTCACCAAAGGAGGTTCTGGACGAATTGCAAAAGCGACCTCAGACTCTAATCGCTCGATACATAACAAGGCACTTACAACGAAAAGGTCGTTTCACGTCCTTAGACGGTCACGGTTCAATGTGTGTGAAAAGCCCCCGACGATTTAAACTCGTGCAACAGGAATCTGAAAACTATGATTAAAACAAAAGGTTCAGAAACCTTGTAACGAGGTTTCTTTTTCTTTATTATAATATTTAAAAAAAAATTAAGGAGAAAAAACCTTTTTGTTCTTTAGAACAATTTATCAAACTTGTATTCAAATAAGATAGCCCGCTTCATTAATTTCAAAAGAAAATTCCCGTCTTATCAGGAATTCAATTAATCGATTTACTAAACAATTCAATGAATTGATTTTATTCTTAAAATGAAATTCTCTTTCTCTATAATATAAAATGACAATTTTTCTCTGTCACATTTTATTAATATTTTTTTCTCTCTTTTTGAATTCTCTAGACCGAGATAAAACGGACAAAAAAAAGAGAGAATTCAAAAAGAATTCTTTTTGAATTCTTTCTTTTTGAATTCTCTCTTTTTTTGTCCGTTTTATTCTCTAGAACATTTTTACAAAAACTTATTGTTTTAAAGTGAAAAAAAAGGTTTTTTTACAATTTCATTAAAGCTCTCTTTCTCTTTATTTATTTATTTTTTTTTAGTAATTTTTCTATTCACTTTCCATATAATAATAATGTATTATTTTAGAAGATTGAATATTTTTAAATAGTTGCAAATAGAATTAGAATGCAAATGAATCTTAGAGAAAAAAAATAGAATCATATACTTTTAAAAGAAATGGTAAAACGTTTATAAAATAACATTTACCAATTTTCCAGTAAAGAAAAAACCATCAGTATTGACTTTTATCAGTTTTATGTACTTTTTACAGTTCTTGTTCGTTATTGTGAACCTTGTAAACAATTTACAAAGAAAAAAAAAAAGAAAGCTGGATGTAGTTGATGAATAGATGAATTATTCCTGTTATTAAAAAAAATATGGGAAGGGATTTAAAAGATGATGGAAAAAATTGTTATTCTTGTGCATGGTTTTAAAAATTAATTCGTGCTCAATGCGCGATGATCAAGTACAAAAAAAAATATCCAAATTTTCTGAACACAGGTTTTTGGAGATTTTAGAATGAGTTTTATGGAAATAGTGTTCGGAATGCAAACAAGACCACTCTTGGCTACATATCCATATTATTGTATTTTGCAAAAACGCTCAAAAAAATTCATTATAAACAATCGAGTCTTATGGGGGAAAATGTATGAAAAATGATAAATTTTACGGGAATTTTTAAATTGTTTCTTGTTTACTATAATTCAATATTTACTGTCTCGATGTTTTTCAATGTGCTTTTTAACGTTTCGACATTTTACACTAGGAGACAAAGTTTTGGAAAATTTTATTTTAAATAGATTTAAATTCAATTTTTTAAATTAACTTTTTTAAATTCACTTTTTTCGAATGTTTGAATTTTTAAAAATTCTTTTCTTTTAATTTAATTCGAGTCGAGTTGAAAATTTACATTTATTTTATTTTTTTAATATTCAAGTAATGAAGTAAATTTAAAAAATGAATTAAAAAATTTCTAAATTGAAGTAAATTTTTTTCGTAGACAGTTTTATGGGATTTTTGATTATTTAGCGAATACGACGATTAAAGAAAAAATATATCTTACATAAAGTTCCTTAATCATACATTCCTTGTAATTTTTATGAAAGAAATATGTGTTGTTTTAATCTCTGTCGTGCATGCGAGATATTTAATGAACAAAAAATAATGTGAAAAGTTAAATAATGAGATATTTTAATCATTTACTATAAGTATGTGTATATGTGTGGTTTACATGAGTCTTGATTCAATGAAGAAAACAAGGCGAAATTTTAAAGTGAAACAGATTTAAAAAAAAAAAATTTGCTTATAATGCAACTTTTTTCTCAAAATGAACTAAATAAATTTTTCTTCTTCAATACTTTTTAATTGAATGTTCACGTTTACGAAATTGAACTAGATTTTTGAATTTCAATTATTAAATCTTAAAATTTGAATTTAAATTTTACTTTGAATTTTAATTTTAATTTGAATTAAAATTTGAATTTAAATGTAAGTTTTAATTAAAATTAAAATTTGAATTTAAACAAAAATTAAAATTCAATTACCGAGATAAAAATTGAAATAATTCGCAATATTTGAAAACCAAATGACTCTGATTGTGTCAATGTTAATAGACATACGATATACTTTTTATATACAATTACCTTACTGTATGGTTGTTGAAGAGAATATTTTAAAGAAAAAAACTATTGTAAACACTGCGTAGTAATCAGAGCGTACAGTTTCTGAAATAATTAATTAAAACAAAATAATTGAACGCATATTATAAATTATTAAAAAAAATGTCTTCACCTTCTCTTTCTCTCTATATCACTTTTTAAGAAACTGCAATTTTAAATAATAAATGCTACGTTGCATTTAATTTAAAGTATTTCGAAATAAATTTTAAATTCGCTAAATAAAAAGTTTACTGGGCCTAAAGAACTAAATAAATGGAATTTAACAAAAAAAATTTACAAATTCCTCAATTTTTCCAATTTTCTATTTCAAGTTCGATATCATTTTTTGAAAATCAGTTTTTGTACACTTCTATTAATTATTTAAGATGATATTAAAATATGACAATTTTTATAAAAAAAAAACTAAAAAATCGATTTCTTTTAGTAAGAGAATTTTTTTACCGATAAAAATAAAAATTCAAATTTTGTTATTAATTGAATTAATAACTTGACTATTTTAATTCCTAAATTTTCATTTATACGTAATTATTGTTAATTCATTGATAACAAAATTTTTTGGAAAAATCTAATATCTTTTCTTTATAAAACAACGATATATCTGTGATGCATAATTGTTAAACAGCTATAATAGTGTAGAAACACGAAATCGTTGAGAATAATGATTCTTCGTTATTATAAATTTTATCGTAATTAAGCGAAGCCTGTAAAAGTCGATTTTACTACTAACAAATATTACAAAATTATTGTATTTAATATTAAAAAAAATATATACTGTGTATTAAAGTAATTCTATTCTATTTAAAAAAAAGATTACTACGCGTGTTAGTCATTAATTGTTAAAAACATCAGTTGATAAAACTAAATAAGTGCTTTAACTTCAGCGACAAAAAATTCGCTATTGTTAAACTTTGTAAAAGAGAGAAAAAAAACAAGAAAAAGCCAAAAAAAATATATATATTCAAAAAATATTTGCCCGATTATTGTTGTGATCGCATTTGCAGCCAAGAGTTATTCATTTAAGAAAAAAAAAATAAAAATTAATGCTGTATATCGAAAATGTCCTTTTACGAACTACAAAATGCTACGAGTTATTTAAAAAATATTGTTGAATGTGCGTTACGTTTTAAAAGGACAATAAAAAAAACTGCTTGACAGAATTAATTAATTGTTTTATTATTTAACTTGTGATTTTTTTTTAAATTGAACAATATCAGCTCGGAAGAAATAAAAAAAAAATGTGAATGAGATAATGTTATCTTCTTTAGAAATGTGACATACAGGAGATTCAAAAAGTGATTCTCTACTGTGACAAGGGACTTCAATAGGGAAAGTATGTTGTATGATTCATAAATACTGCAGTACGTTTCGAACCGTCAAGAGCTTCAGTACAAGATTTGTGGGAATTTGTTTTCGAATTTTTAACTAACGAAATTGTTTTTTTGAAAATGGATGCAAAAGAGGAAAATAATCAAATTCAGAGGTAATGGAATTTTTAAATAGATTTTTGTACCATATTTTTAGTTTTTAATTTATAATAAATTATTTAAAATCGGTATTTTACTACCTAAAATCAAGAAATTGAAAATTGTGTTTACTTAAGTTTAATACTTTCACCTTGGAAAATAATTCCAATGGCTTTTGATAATATAATTGATAATAATTGTTTGTAAACTGATTATTGTCACCAAGTTTTATAATGAAGAAAAATTTTTAGTTATTTTTTTTATTAATATTAATTAATTTATTAATTTATATTAATTTGTATTTATTTCTATAAATATTCTTTTTCTCCAAAAACTACATATTTGCTCAATATTTTCCAAACAATGTTTAATAGAAAATAATTATTATAATAATTATTTTAATTTATTTTATTATTGTTTTTTGAAAATAATAATTTTTTTCTTTCATAGAAATGAAAATGGATTGGTGCAACTTCAAAATCCTTATATTAAAAATTTGAAGAATGATGTTCTCTATCATCTTGGATTTGACACGAGTACTCATGATTTGAAGAAAATGTTCGGAGACATTAAAGTAAGAATAGAAAATATTAATTCACATAAATAGTTATTTTAGTGAGAGATTGCTTAATGTATGAAAATTTACTTTTTCAGTTCGTTTGCACAGGTGGGACTGACTCTCGAATGAAAGAATTTGCTTATTATGCGGAAAAAGAAATGTCTGACCTGTTTGAAACGGGAACCAAAGTAATTGACTATTCGGAATATTCGCATCGTTATGCCATCTTTAAAGTGGGCCCAATTTTGTCAATAAGTGTAGGTACAATGCTTCCTAAATTAAGAATGGCATCTATTTTTCTATTATCTAAATTGATTTAAAATGAATTTATAATTTACTGTTTTTAAAAAGAAAATATTTTCTAAGAAGAATAAGAATATTGACAAAAATTATTGACATTGAAATTGAAATTATTTACATAAATACATAAATCATAAATTATTTTATTTTCCAACAATTTTTTTTTTTACAAATTCGCTTATTAACATAAGTGAATATTTTTAAATTTAAAATTCTAATATTTTTGTTAAAAATTGTTATAATTTTGCATCTGAAATAATTTGAATTGTTTCAAGGAATTTCATTAAAATTTTTGTAAATAATTCAATTTTTCATCTAAGAATTTAATTAAATTTGTATTGCAAATAATTAAACTCTTATAATCAAATTTTATATGAAAATTTCTGAAAATAATTGAATTCTTTCGGAAAAAGTTATTAAAATTGAAATTAATTGAAAATACATCATTTTTTTCAGAAATTTTATTAAAATTGTGTAAAAAAAATTGAATTCTTATAAACAAGTTTTATCAAAATTGTGAAAGTAATTAAATATTTTCGTATTTTATTAAAATTTAATTCTTAAAAGCAAATTTTATCGAAATTTCTTAAAATAATTCAATTCTTTCGAAAGATTTTATTAAAATTCAAATTAATTGAAAAAAGTACATTTTTTCCAGAAATTTTATGAAAATTGTATTCTTATAAACAAGTTTTATCAACATTTCTGAAAATAATTGAATTCTTTTAAAAAATTTTATTAAAATTGAAATTAATTGAAAATATTTGAATTATTTCAAGAAATGTAATTAAAATTGAGATTAATTGAAAATAAATAAATTTTTTCCAGAAATTTTATTAAAATCTTACCTATTCTTATAAACAAGTTTTGTCAAAATTTCTGAAAATAATTGAATTCTTTTGAAAAATTTTATAAAAATTGAAATTAATTGAAAATAAATAAATTTTTTCCAAAATTTTTTTTTAAATTGTAATCAAAAAAATTCAATTCTTATAAACAAGTTTTATCTAAATTTCTAAAAATAATTGAATTTTTCCGAATAAGTTTATTAAAATTGAAATTATTTGAAAGTAATTGAATTCTTTCAAGAAATTTAATTACAATTGTATTGAAAATAATTGAATTCGTAAAAAAATGTATCAATGATATTTTAAAAAGTAAAAATTGAATTTTTGCAAAGAAATTAATTCAAAGTAATTAAATTCCTTCTTGAAATTCAATTACAATTGTATTGAAAATAATTGAAGTGTTTTGAAGAATTTTATTAAAAGGTTGGAAAATAAATTGATTTCTTCGTAGAATTTTATTAAAAGTTATGAAAAGAAATTGATTGCTTCGTAGAATTTTATTAAAATGTTTTGTAACGTTTTCGCTTTTATTATCATTAAATAAGAAAAATAGTATTTAAATAATTAAATTAAATTAAATGTAATTAAAAATTTATTTTAAGAAATTTAAAAGTAATTTAGGTAACAAAAATTTCGTTATAATTCTTATGAAATTAAATTATTCTAGATGCAATTTGCATTTAATACTGATTTTTACACTGACAAACAAGAATTCATTCAATTGTGACTCTTTTTTAAAATTTAATTATATTTACCAAGTTTTTTATTAAAATTTTCTAAAAATTCAGTTTATTCTGTAATCTTCAAAGAATTTATTTAATTAAACTTCTTCAATGTTACCAAATTATTAGAATTCGTAAAAAAATTAATTTTTCCTTTTTTGTGAATTTCCCGATTTTTATTTTGAATTTGCAGTTTTTCTGTCTATTTTCCTTTTCTGAAACGGGTAAAAAAATTATTATTTTTAAGTAAAATAAATTTTCATATATTTTTTCTAGCACGGAATGGGAGTCCCTACACTAAGTATTATGCTTATAGAACTTTTTAAATTATTACATTATGCCGAAGCGAAAGATCCAATAATAATTCGAATTGGAAGCAGTGGAGGTATTGGCGTTAAACCGGGAACTGTTGTCATCACCAATGGTGCACTTGATGAATTATTGAGACCTGATTTCGAAATGGTAAATATAAGTAGCCAAAGAAATAATTCTATAATAAAATAATAATTTTAATAAAAAAATTTTATTTTATACCATTTGTTAAATTAATGTAATTAAATTTTATTTTATACCATTTGCTTAAATTAATATAATTAAATTTTATTTTCATTTTCTAAATAATAAAAGGATTAATTCTAAATAATAATTTAGGATTTCCTAAAATCCTAAATTAAAATTAAAAGAAAATTATTATCTTTGTCCATAAAATTATAGGCAGTTGCTGGCGAATTAGTCAAGAGACCTGCGATATTCGATCAAACTTTGGTGGAAGATTTAGAAAATCTTTCACTTCCTGACGATGATTTCGAAATAAGAGTGGGAAAAACAATGTGCGCCAATGATTTCTATGAAGGACAGGGTCGTCTTGATGGAGCTTTTTGTACATTTTCGGAAGATGATCGTATGAATTATCTCAAAAAATTGCAAAAGAATGGAGTTTTAAATATTGAAATGGAGTGTGTTTGTTTCGGTGCACTCACTCATTTGGCTAAAATAAAATCCGCCATCGTTTGTGTCACATTCCTAAATCGTCTTGAGGGTGATCAGGTAAAAATAATTATTAGTAAAATAATAAATAAAATAATAAATGAATATTAAATCAGAAAGTCAATCGAATTTTTCAAAATCACTACTTTTTCCTACAAGTAGAAAGAAAATAAATTTTTTTACACAATTTTGATTTTGAAAAATTCACTCTTAACTATTTTGGATTAATTACTTTAAGAATACTTACAAATCGGTGTGATAATTTTTCCAGGTTCTCGAGCCGGCAGAAAAACGTCGAATGTACGAAGCGAGACCTCAAAATGTGGTTGTTCGCTATTTACGAAAATTACTCATCAACAAATGAACAGACTCCTTGAGTTTTTTAAAAATTAAGGAATAATTCCTAAAACAATAAGTATTTAAATTTTTAAAAAATTTCTAAACTATAAATAAAATGAATTTAATTGTATATTTTAATTAATAAAAAAAAATTGTTTTATTTTCAAACCAATTATTTGATTTTACGCCTTGAAATTATTTTCAAAACTAAAATTAATCAACTGTAGAATTTATAGAATTCTATAGTTTTCTGTAGAGTCTATAGAATTCTATAGAGTTTATAGAATTTTATAGTTTTTTATATTTTATAGAATTCTATAATTTTTTATAGAGTTTATAGAATTTTTCACTAAACGGATGAGAGGAAGAAACGATTTGATTACATTTTTAAACTGTATATGATGCAGAGAATGCATTTTTTTATTTCATAGGCCAATATACAAATATAACTATGAAGCCTGCGGAAATACGACGATAATCGACGTCGTTTCACCGTTATGATGCACAATGATGAGTGCTAATAAAATGAATCAATGTAATATAATATTTATACTAAGTATACATTGTATCTATTATTATTAACGATTAGCGGATATTCAAAAATTACGGAACAATCATTTTTTTCAGATAGATAAAAAATACAATAATTATAATAATATACAAAAAATGAGATTTACAATTTACAAAAATCATCTTTATCATCGCTCACAGTATCTAATAAAAATCTTTACTTAATATTAATATTAAAAATATTAATACATCAACTTTTAATATCAACACATTGATAATATTATTATCAACATATTAATATTACAATTATATTTTTATCAATATATTGAGTATTAATCGATTGTCTATTAATATATCAATAATTAATATATACAATTAATTCACGATCAGTTAATTGTAGAAATTAATTATATAATTAACTATTCATATATTAATAACGAATACATGGTTAAAATTTGTCTTCATCATAAATTGGCAATAAATTGAAGAATGCATTTTTCACTATAATATTATTAAAAACATTTTTACGAAAGAAACAATTTTACGAAATTTATTACCAATATTTTTAAAGAGCGTTCAAAATTATTCTAGTTTCAAAAAAATGCATTTTTCATTAAATTATTAAAAATAATAACGCAGGCTGTTTTTTGCACTATAAAAAATAAAATACGAATAAACTCTATTTCAGTAGTATTTTTACATGGGAAGCAACCCAATTTCGTCAAAGTTCTCACTCATAAATTAATAAATTTGAAAACAAAAATCTGCACATTTTATATTGCTGTTGATAATTTTTTTATTTCACAATCGAACTCTCGTCGATTTCACTGGAAGTGTATAAAATTAAAGCCTTAATTTTCAAAATATTGCAATGTGTTTTGTGTACGTAAAGGGCAAATTTTACAAATAATTACCGTGAATGCAATACAATTATAATAATTATTGATAATTATTATTTTATTTCATTTTTTTTCATTAATTAATGAATATTAATTAACAATAATTATAATAATTCGTCAATATTCTAATGCTCGTTTAAAAAAACGAGTCATCGCTATTTTTTTTAATCTATAATATCATATCAAAATGTATCGAATACATCAGAAGATTTCTAAACTTAATCAGCCTCTTATAAAGATTTATCTATTATCTATAATGATTTTTAAATATGTATAATGTATACATATTGTATTTTTATAATGTGTGATAAATAAAAATATTGGGAGATAATTATTACATATTTGCCATCAATGAATCGTCATGAATATTGATCATTCAAGGTGGCCATCAGCGAACCTTGAAACTTTAAAAACGACGAGAAGAAAAACTAGGTGAATTTAGTTATAAATCGAATAAAAAAAAGCAGAATTCACCTTGATTTATTTTTCAAGACTTGCAATATTTTTTTCCCCGAATTAATCATTTTTTATGATCAGAATTTTAATTTCAAACAAATAACTTCCTTTTGTCGCAAATACTTTTCTTTTTTTTAATAGTAAAATGAAAAATTATACAAATTTTCCTTTTTTTTTTTTTTTTTTTTTTCTTCGTCAGTGGCCACCTTGTACTTTGATTTACATAATAATAATAATAATAATTACAATTTCATGGAGATTAAAAACAATATTATATCGATTTTAAATCTACTTCTGTATAATAAATGTATAATAATTCTAAATTTACGTATACATCTTACAATAATTAGTATCTGTCGTTTTTCTATCACAAAACTTATTTATTACAATTATTACGGCCGTCAACCGCATTGAGATAATCTTGAGATTGCAGATAAGGAGCATACAATAAATTTTAAATTCAAAACAATTTCACAAATATTGAAAATTATAATAATTTTAAAATATTTTATCAAATTATTATTATTATAATTATAAGATTCATTTTCTCATTATCTACCTGTGTCAAAATACATTATTGGAAATGTAAACTTTTACACTTAAAAACTTATCTACTCGATATTAAGTCTTTTTATAAAAACAAAAATTTTTTTTTGTAAAAAACATTTCTTATCTAAACAAAAAAAATAAAAATTAAACTATAGGGTTAGAAAATAATTTCTAAAATATCCAATTAAATGAAAATTAATTTTAAAAAAAGGTATAAAAATTAGTCTAAATATTAAAATAAATTCTCCTGTTTGACGGTTTTTTTTAAGTTTTAAAAAAGTAGAAATATTTTTTTTAAAATAAATAATAGTCAAGGAAAAAATAATTAAAAGAACGAAAAATTGATAATAAAAAATAACTTGAGCATGAATCGACAATGTCGTGGAATTTTCATGTCGTAGCTTATAATATCTAAAAACTTAGAAAGAAATTGCGAGTGTGACGGCTTTTGGCACCAATCAAAGGATCAAGGATCAATAACAATTTTAATTTCTCCTCCTCCCCTCAGTTCCTAAATTTACCCATTAATGAAATATTAATTATTATTACTCCCATTATTGCCTAAAGGATTTGTTGAAGCATTTGCTCGATAATTTTCTCATTTTTCCTATTCCATTTTTCTTTTTCAAAATTTGTTTATTTAATCGTATTATCAGATTAATCTACGGGCTAAATAACATCAGACGATTACATAATGTGATATATTGTCCAACATTTCATATAATTCTAGCGTCGATGCTCTAAATTTAAATTATTTTACCCTCCCCTTGTTAAAATGTCCACATTTCGAAAAATTTCTTTACTTTCAAAAATTGGAGAAATAAAATTGAATTTTATTCACTTTTCGAAAGGACCACACAGTTTTTTTTCATCTTTTAGACAAAAAAAGGGAATTTAAATTTTTTGAAAAGAAAAACAATTAAAAAGAAAAAAAGATTAGAAAATAATAGAAAAAGATTAGAAAAAGAATTTTAAAAATTGATATTTTTCTAATTTTAAAAATTAATATTTTCAAACTGTACTTATTTTTATTCGAAATAAAATAGAATTTCGAATTATGGACATTTTTAAAAATTTTGCCGTTTATAAACAGACATGAAATATGGTTTAAAATTTACTTTTTACGAAAACGGAAACAAAAAAACCTTTTAGGAATTGAAATCCATTCATCGGGAATAAAATATCTGTCATTCGGTGTTTGACACAATTCCTTGACTATCTAATTATTTATAGGACTAGATAAATATTCACCACCTGCTCGGAAAATGAAAAAAGTTCCACAAAAAGATGACATGAGAGAAAATCAAATTTCCTTAAAAAGATGATATGAAGAAATAATAATAAATTTGTATTTTTACATTTTTACAGGTGCTTTCAAAAAAAGATAACAATGCAGTAAAAAAAATTACCGAACAGATAGTGAACAATGAGCATATAAATTGTGTAAGTAAGATTTAATATTAAGGCTAAATTGATGTTTTCTCCACCATTTAAATAGTGAAAATTCATTCAAAGTCTCAAGTCCTAAACCAACACCTCATTAAAAAAATTATATCGAAACTTTTTTTTTCTGTCGTGCGTATTAATCAGTCAGTTCCATACTCGAGAAGAGAAAAACAAAATTTGAAAAGAACGCCGAGAAAAAAAATTCTTTTCCTGAGATATTCTTAATTCGCTGATTGTCACATCGGCGTGAAAATTGTTTTTTCTCTACTATTTTCAAAAATCCTCCTTTCCATTATTCTCCATTTATTCTCCATTAAACGGAGAAATAAGAAAGAAATCATAAACCAGGAAGATTTGGTATTTATTCTTTCTGATTGTTATTGTAAATATAGAAATTTACAAGTACTTCTTTTCATTAGTATTTAATTTAATTAAATATAAAAATCTATAATATAGTCTTTTTTAATGGAGGATTATTTTCTCGTTTAAACGAGAGAGCAAAAAAGAAGAAACGAGAAAGAGCTTATTTAAAAAAAAATTAAAAGAGGATTTTTGTCAGCGAATTGAGACTTTTTTTTTAAATTGAGGGTTGATGATTTTTCTCGCAACGATGATGATGATCGCAGTGCTGCGGTCATCCAACGGTTTCTTCTGGAAGTATGATACTCACTGATTTTGTCACCAGGCCGGAAGGTGATCGATGAGACGGTGTAACACGGACTTCCGGTCTTGGTGATGCTTCTCTTAACGGACTAGACAGATTAACCAGATCTTCATTGTTCGCCACAGACACTGATCTGAAAAGAAATTGAAAAATTAATTTAGCGCCCAAAATAAAACAGAAAAAGTATTTATCTTTTTTAAATAGATATTTAATTATTACTTTTTCCATAGGAATTAAAATTTCTCAAAAGATTTAAATTCAAACCTTTTTCAAATTAAACAACTTATAAAAAATTGTTATAAAACATGAAGAAATCGATCATTCCGAGTCTTCGACTCAGAGCACCCCATATCTTCATGTTTTATAATAATTAAAAATGACCTTTTGATAAAATCATTATTTTATAATATAAAAATATTGTTACTCTAACTTATTCAAAATTACTTTCATCAATTCAATTCAATTATTTTTTACAATTTTGAACTAAAATTCTTCTTTAAATTAATTATTTTTAATAATTTTTGAAAAATTTCTTTGAAAAAATCCTCTTGTTTACAATTCAATTTTACGAAATTTTTTCGATTATTCGGAAACTCTTCAATCAAATATATATTAGAAAATAAAAACTTCAATTAACTTAAAAAAAAATTAAATCTACACAATTTTCAGTTAAAAGTATGAAAAATTCAAAGATAATATAATTTGAAACCTTTTCAAAATTCTATTATTTTTATTTTTATTTTCAAAAAATGTAAAATTCTTCAAACATTTTAATGAAATTCTTCACAAGAATTCAATTATTTTTATAAATACATAATAACATTTTTCGAAAGAATTAAATTATTTTCAAAAATTTTAATTAACTTCTTCTCAATTTTTTTCTAAAATTTTAATAAACTCCTCGAAAAAATTCAATTATATTTGTAAATAGTAAAATTCTTCGCAATAATTCAATTAATTTTATAAATATTAAAGTTCTTGGCAGGAATTCAATTATTTTCAAAACAATTTTTAATGAATTCCTCGGATGAATTCAAATATTTCCATAAATTTCAATTATTTCTTAAAATTTTAATGAATTCTTCGAAACAATTCAACTATTTTTATAAATAGTAAAATTCTTCGCAAGAATTCAATTGTTTTTAATACAATTTTAATAAAATTCTTCTTCATAAAATTCAATTGGTTTCAAAATTTTCAATTAAAATTATTAAAGAAATTTTATTATTTTAAAAAAAATTCAAAGAAATTCTTCAAAAGAATTTAATCAGGATTTTTTAAAATTTTAATAAAATTCTTTGCGAGAATTCAGTTATTTTTCTAAATAATAAAATTCTTTGAAGGAATTCTATTATTAACAAATTTTTTGATAAAATTCTTTGCAACAATTCGATGATTTTCAATACATTAATTTTAAAATTGAAAATATTTGAAAAAAAAATTATAAAAAAGTTAAGAAACAAAAAAGCAAACTCAAATTCATATTTTAATCAATTTTTATTAGAAAATTTTACGGGAATTCAATATTATTTAAATACAAAAATAAATAATTTTTTGAAGAATTGGATGTTTTTTAAAATTAAACTCTCAAAGGTAAAGAATTTTATCAACAAATTTTTAAATAAGTAATTAAAATTCTTTTGACGAATTTTAGTAACATTTTAAAGAATAATTTCTATTTTCGAGAAATTAGATTAAAAATTATATTAAAAATAATTGAATCTCTGTAAAAAATTTGATTGAATTGAGAGAAGTTTTTGAAAATAATTGAAATTTTGCCAAGAATTTTATTAAAATTAAAATTTGTTTTTGAAAATAATTGAATTTTGGAGAAAAATTTTATTATTTATAAAGATAATTGAAATTTTGAAGAGAATTTTTTTACTTTTTAAAATAATTGAATTCTTATTGAGACGAATTTTAATATTTCTTTTTAAATAATTGAATTCTTTTGTAAAAATTTTATTGAAATAGTAAATATTGAAAGTAATTGAATTTTGATAAATTATTGATATTAATTAAATTTTATACGAAAAATGTTATTGAAATTATTTTGAACGAAAATTGAATTGTTAACAAAAATTTTATTAAAATTTTTGAAAATAATTTATCTGTTTCAATAAATTTAATTAAAAATGTATTGACAATAATACATAAATTCTAATAAATAAATTATATGAAGGCTTTTTAAAACAATTGAATTTCTTTGATGAATTTTAATAAAAATTTTAAGAATAATTATATTTTTCGAGAAATTTCGCATTAAAATTGTACCAAAATAAATTGAAATTCTGCGATGAGTTTTATTATTTATGAAAATAATTGAATCTCTGTAAAAAAAATTTGATTATTTATGAAAATAATTGAATGATTGGGATGAAATTTTTTAAAGAATTTGTAAATAATAGAATTCCTGTGAAATTTTTATTATTTAATTAATTCATTGAAAATTGAAATTTTACCAAATTTCAAATTACAACCATTTGATGTTTATTTATTTATGAAAATTGTGAACGCAACTATTTTAAAATTGAATTAATTTTGAAATATTTAAGAAAAAGCACAATAATTTTCCTGGATTCCGATCAAAATCCCGATTTTTTCAGGTTTTTTCAAGGTTTACAAAATTCCCTGACATTTCCAGGTTTTCCATGTTTTTTTCTATTTTTTTCCAATTCTATTTAATAGAATAGAAAAAAAAATAGAAAAAATAGAAGAAATAGAAATAAAAATGTCTTTTCTCTCACTTGTGTTGAGGTGGAGGTGTTGGAGTTCGCGAAAGAGGAAAACTGGCAACCTCCCTCGTCACTGATAATGAGCGAATAGAACCAAATGTTTGATCCGGCGATAGATTGGCACCCACACTTTGAACCAATCCGCTACTGAAAGAAAACGAAAATCTCATCAAAAAAATGTTACAAAAATTCCAAAATGTTTTCATATTTTACAATTTATATGAAAATCCAAAGTACACATTTTTTTTAACTCGTAGTTTTCCCCAAAGGGAAATAAATGGGAAAACAAAAAGAATCGGTAATAGTTGACACCGTATTGTGAATTCACTTCAGCTTAAAATAATTTACATATTCATGACAAATTTCAAACGCAGATATGACAAAAATATTTGCATGTAACTTCAAGTATTCGAGATGAAATTGCAGAATAAATTTTTTTTCAAAACTTGAAAAAGAAATAAAATAACAATTTTTTTTTATTTTGTTACGTAAAAATTTAAAAATACTTATTCAAAGATAAAATAATTTGAAAAATTGGAAAAAATTTGTTTAAAAATGTAAAAAGAGTTTTTTATAATTTAACTTTTTTTAATCGTTAATAAACAAGACTTTTCTTAAATGGAATAATTATGAAATAAAAATGCCCTCATTATAGCAGAAATAGAAAATAAAGTTAAAATTTAAAGTTTGAAAGGAGAATACTTTTTTTTTTGAAATTACCGTCTTGATGCTATTAAAACGCTACAATTTAAATGTCAAGAGAAAACAAAGTGGCCTTAATAGTGTACGTTTGTATGGAGAGACACTGAGAAATAAACTTTTCTCTTATTTATATTTAATGACGTCTGTGTAGAGTTCAAATTGTAAAAATAGTTATATTTATGTTTTATTATACGAGGCCTCTTAATTGAATCTCCGAGGTAAAACTTTAATTTTTGTTTTTAGTACATAATCAAGAAAACTTTTCGTTTCATTTGGTATACTATTTACTATAAACTAAAATAAGAAATATTAATTCTTATGTTAATTTATTCAGACACGAAATATAAACTTTGTCATATTGTCATTATTAAAATGAAATAATGAAAATGAAAATTTATAAAATACTATGAAACATTTATAAATATTTATAAAGTTTACAATAATTTTTTCAGTATACTTTTTGAAAAAAAATATAATAATTATATTTTCTCAAGAGTTCAGACGTAAATTATAAAATAACAATTATCGTAAATCTTCCTTTACATTTGTTAGCAATAGACAATAGACTAAAAATAGTTTACTTTTAAAACAAAAATTATTTTCATTTAACGAGTGTTTTGTATAACTTAAGGTTTTGTAGGATATTTTTTCCAAATTTAGTAGTTCAAATAAAAAGGAAACAAAAAATATTAAAGTAGGTATTAGGAAATATTAAGCTGTATGTATTTCTTTTTTATCATTATTATTGTCAAACAAATAGCAAAATTCTTTATTTTCAAATATCAACTTCAATTTTTGAATAATAGCAAATTCGAAATTTAAAAAAAATCCAATTGTTAAGTAATTGAATAATTAATCATTATTTATTATCATCGAAAATTTAAATCAAATTCTTTGAAACAATTCAATTATTTTCTAAAATTGCAATAAAATTGTTGGGAATTCAGTTATTTCCCCAAATAATTAAATTCTTCGCAGGAATTAATTTATATTCGATTCAATTTTAATACAATAGAAAGAATTGAATTATTATCAATTCAATTTAATTAAATTTACTCAAAAAAATTCAATTATTTATGTAATTTTTAGTGAAATTCTTCTAAAGAATTAAATTATTTGCAAAAATTTCAATAAAATTCTTTGTAGGCTTCAACTATTTTTAATTTAATTTTAATTAAAAACTTTGGAGAAAGTTCAATTATTTTTTAAAATTTTAATAAAAGCCTTAGAAAAATTCAATTATTTACCAAAATTTCAATAAAATTCGTTAATGAATTCCAATGCTTTGAATTTAATTTTAATCAAATTTATGGAGAAATTTCAATTACTTTTTAAAACTTTAAGAAAATTCTTAGAAAAATTCAATAATTTGCAAAAATTTCAATGAAATTCTTTAAAAGATTCAACTTTTTTTAATTTAATTTTAATTAAAATTTTTTGAGAAAATTCAATTATTTTTCTAAATTTTAAGAAAAATTAAATTATTTGCAAAAATTTGAATAAAATTCTTTGCAGGATTCAATTACTTTTAATTTAATTTTAATAACATTTTTGGAGAAAATTAATTTTTTTTTTAAAATTTTAATAAAATTCTTCTAAGAAAATTCAATTAATTGCAAAAATTTCAATAAAATTCTTTAATGAATTCAGTTGCTTTCAAATAAATTTTAATAACATTTCTGGAGAAAATATAAAATAATTTCCAAATTTTTCTTGCAAAAAAAAATATCACAAAAGTGATTCTCCGAATCTGATGTAGTATTTCATATTGAATAAAAGAGTAAATTTTTTTTTTAATAAAAATAAATTGAGGATTTTCACCTGACGGAACCGGATGTCACTAAAAAGGGCATTGGCGTTGGACATGGACTCAGTGGTGAACTGCTAACAGAACTTCGCGTACTGTTTAAAACCGAATGAGGACACTGCGGTGGGCCCATGTGGGAAATCAAGGTTGCATTTCCGTTTCCACTATTGACTGGTCGTCTTTTAAAACACGGAATTCTGGGCCAACTGCTCTCATTCTTTCCATGACCATCTGAAACAATGAAAGAAAAAAATGTCAATTATTTATGCTCAAAAATCAAAATTACTTTTAATTTATTCAAATACACTTTTTTAAAGTTTTTCAAATAAAATTTCAGATATTTTTTAACATTTATTGAAAAACTAAGTAAAAGTAAATTTTATCAATACAAAAAAATGGTTTAAAAAAATTGTATAAAAAAAATTTTTAAAGTTCATTCTTTTCTCTCAGACTTTTTTTGGAAGAAAATAAAAACCCCTTTTGCCGATAATCGAACGTGGGATGCAAAAAGCAAAAGGGGCTTGAGAACAAAGTCAAGTTCTAGCCTTGATCAATAAGCTTGTTTCACTTGAGAAAAAAATTAAAACCCTTTGATGAATAAAATTAACAATATCAGTCGAAAAAAAGTTGTTAATGATTCAAAGACCTCTCTTCGAATTATTTTCCTTTTGTTTCTAGAATCGAAATTTTAAAAATAGTACAAAATTACCTTTGGGAATTTCGAGAAATTATTAAACGCGACTCGCTGTAAATTTTTCAACGCAGAGAAAACAACTCTCATTATCGGCTTTTTGGTCTCCTATTTTTCTGAACTTTTCTACATTGAACTCACGAAGCCATTTTAAAAATTTTCAATCTCCAATAATTTCAAATATACGTAGAAAACCTTTAACAAAAAAAGTTCACAATTTTTTTTTCCATTTTTTTTTTGTTAACTTGTATTTATTGTTCCTTTTGAAAAGTTTCTTTTTACACAAAAATATCCAAATGCAATAAATATTCGCATATCGAGATGAACTTTTAAAAAACAATGAAGAAAGAGAGATTTTCAAAGTATTGGAAAATCCTTCAAGTTCCAATAGACAAGTACAATCGAACAATAGTGCGCGGGATTATTCTGAATGAAATCCACCTGAAAGCACTCGGTCAAGAAACTGACAGTGTGACAAGTAGTTTCTTTTTTTTTCTTTCTCTTCACACATTTCCTCTGGTGCAATTTTTTAAAAATTGAACTTTTATTCTGTGGAAACAAAAATTTTTACATTCAAAATTCCTGTGAAATTTTATTAGAAAACTTCAAAAATTTCGATACAACGAAATAAAAGGAAAAAAGTGATTTAAAAATGAAATTTCTGTTCAAATTTCAGAAAATATTTTAACAATTGGAAGAATTGCAGTTGTAATTTTTAGATATAAAATTTCAAAAGGTTTTACATTGAAATTATTTGAAATTTCAATTAAAATAAATAACAACAAATTCTTAAATATTTAACAAAAATTATTGAACGTTTGAATAATTTAATGTAGAAATTCTAAAAAAAATTGTTATTGAAAAATATAATTACATTTTTTACATTGAATTCTCAAAAATAATTTAAAAACTTGAAACAATTAAAAGTTTTATCAAATTTTATGGAAATAAATTTTATATTCAAAAGAATTAAAAGCTTGGAAATAAATTTTATATTTGAAAGAATGAAAAGCATGGAAATAAATTTTATATTTGAAAGAATTAAAAAATCAAATTTTGCAAATAAATAAAGAAAACTACATTCTTTCAAATTTTCATCAATTTTATTCCAAACTTTATAGGATTTTCGATTGTAAAAATTTCCCATTTTCATGGCAATAATTTTTATTTCTCGGTTTCGATAAAAATCACTAATAAAGTAAATCTTTGATCTCTACTTCATTTATTTTAAGGATACATTAAAAAAAACTACAATTTGCCTGGCTGGCGACAAACATAGACGAAGAATTCAACTTTTACAATAGAATATTAAATTCTCAAACTGGAAAACGACAGACAATTTGCGTGATTTTATTATTCATATAAACCATTTTTATATACGTGATTCCAATTATTTTTAGCGTTTTAACTACAAAACGATGTAAAGGAAAATGAAAAAAGAAAAAAAAACAAAAACAAGAGTTCTGTTCTTTTTTTATTGGAAAAAATTTAATAGAAAATAGTTGGAAACATTGTAAAATTTATCAAATACTTTGGAGCCTTTGGAGATTAGAAATTGTCAAATACCAAAATAAATATTTACAGTCATGAAAGTAAATTATTGAAATTTTTTTTGCAAAAGAAAATATTTGTCAATAAATCGAAATTGAAATTTTAGAAAATAATGAAGCAATTATTTTGCACCTACGTTTAAACAATTACTTTAAAATTATTTTTTTTTAATAAAAACTATTATTTATAAATAGATTCTAAAAGTAATGATAATAAATAAATAAAAGTATTTTAATTTTAAATTACATATTTAGAAATTCAAATTTTTCAATTTAGTATTTAGAATACAATAGAATTAATTTCCCTAATGCTACATAATTATGTTTTACACAAAATTAAAAATTCTATTTATAAATATTTAAAACATATTTATCTCAATCAAAATAAAAATATTTTTATTTGAAAATATATTTATAAACAAAATAAAAATATTTTTATTCGAAAATATTTTTATAAACAAAATAAAAATATTTTTATTCGAAAATATTTTTATAAACAAAATAAAAATATTTTTATTTCAAAATATATTTATAAACAAAATAAAAATATTTTTACTTGGAAATATATTTATAAAAGTAATTTAAAAAGTAATAAATAAGTAATAATAATCAATTAATTAATGAATGTATGAGCAATTAAATTAAATAAAAACTAAAATATTATCAAAAAAATTAAAATTAAATTAAAAAAATAAATAATTTTTGTCAAATTTTTATTTCAAGTATTTATAAATAGAATTTATTTGTAATAATAATAAAAATTGGAAAAAAGAATTAACATTGAACGACAATTAATAATTTCCGGTTTTGCAGTGTTTAAAAAATTTACACGCTTCTTATTTTACACCTCGTAGAAGAAAATGGGGGAGGAAAATTAATCATTCTTTATCTGACCTTCCAGTGCTGTTGCACCCGACAGTTACTTATCCCTCTGACCTGACCTTTACGAAAAACCAACTAAAACGTGCAACGCATTTAATCGACCTGAATCTCCATTGGACTATGGCCATTAATTTGGGGAAAAAAGATCCACGAATTCTATAAATAGAAACGCGAATGGCATTTTAAATGCAATTAAATCGAAATAAATCCCAGAACCACGACATATTTCACGTCAATAGTCTCTGAAACATGAAAAAAATAAAGAAATATTATTTAAAATTCCGAATTTAATTTACTAAAATTGGAAAAATCCATTTTTAGCTATTTTTTTTCTTTATTTTTCGACTTAATTTAGAATTAATGAATTATTAATTATTAACTATAACTAGCAAATGTTACGCGAAATTTATTAGTATTATTATGCAAATTACAAAATTTTGTATTTTCAAATTTATAAATTTTTGATTAATTTCAAATTCAAACTTTAAAAAAATTCAATTATTAACTAATTTACTAATAATTATTTTTAAATAGTGAAATTTTTCACAAGTATGCAATTATCTTTAAAAATAAGAAATTCATTGCAGAAATTCAATTATTTTCGATTTATTTCAATTCTAATAAAATTTTGTAAAACAATTTTAAAAATTGTAATAAAATTTTTCGCAAGAATTCAATTATATTCATAAATAATAAAATTCTTCCCAGGCATTCAATTATTTTTAGTACAATTTTATTAAAATATTTCAAAAGAATTCAATTTTCTTTATAAATTACAGAATTTTTCTGTAGAATTTATTATTTGCCAATTCATTTCAATAAAATTCTTTAATAAATTAAGTTGCTATTAATTTAATTTTAATAAAATTTCTCGAGAAAATTCAATTATTTTTAAAAATTTTAATAAATAAATATCTTAGAAAAATTCAATTCTTTGCAAAAAATTTAATAAAATTCTTTAATGAATTAAATTGCTATAAATTTAATTTTTATAAAATTGCCCGAAAGAGTTGAACTCTTTTCAATACAATTTTAATCAAATTTCTGGAGAAAATTCAATTTGTTTAAAAAAATGTTTTTAAATATCTTAGAAAAATTCAATTCTTTGCAAAAATTCCAATAAAATTCTTTAACGCATTTAAATACTTTGAATTTAATTTTAATAATATTTGTGGAAAAAATCCAATTATTTTTAAATATTTTAAGAAAATTCTTAGAAAAATTTAATTATTTTCACATTTAATTTACTAAAATTGGAGAAATCTATTTTTAGAAAAATTTGTTTCTTAATTTTTTGACAGCTGCTATTTTACAATCTATTTTTTGATGCTTCTTTTTCAAAATTAATTAACAAGTGCGAAGTCTTTCCATTTAATAGCAAAAAAAAAAAAAAATAAAAATAATTTCAGAAAAAAATATTCTAAATTCAGGAAAATGTAAATATTGGAAATTTTGAAAAAGGAAATACTCGAAATTGTGGAAATTGAAAATATTCGAAATTTTGGAATATAATTCCCGGGACAGTGAAAGAGCAACATGACTGGCGTGAAGATTATCACTTATATTTGAGAGAGGATTATTATTCGATCGCAATTGACAGAAAGTGGATAGAGAGCGAGAGAGGTAGAGGAAAGTCTAGAGATTAAACATAGAAGGATTATAAAAGAGACTAAAACCGAGAAATTGAAGAGCATGAAGGGTCGATTTCAGCAGAGTATAGGATGTCATAGACCCCCGGGAGTCACCTAGTTACCTATAACCATTTACTTTTACTATACACACACCCCACTGTTGACCTGACGTAGAGCATGACGTCAGTTGCTCCCGTGGTTCCCTGGTCGATTAATTAAAGTGACGCAATTCTTCTTACAAGACAAAGAATAAATTTACCTACTTGCAATATATGTATATATACAAAGGAATTTAAATCAGTTTGTCAGTGCCATTAATTTCTTACTTTTTCCCAAAAAACATTTCTTTATACTTTTCTCCACTAGAATTTAAAATTTGTTAATTTCACTTCTTTCGGTAATTATTTTATTTTTCTCGTCAACAATAAATTGTGTTATTAATTTCTTAATTTTTCGAAAAAGAATTCCTTTTAATTA